CTCTGCAGAAAAAAGTAAATGGTTGCCTTGCTGGTACAGAGCTGGTGTGAATCCTGGGACATCTTGTTAGGAAGAAAGTGTCTACCAACTTTCCCCGTGAAATAGTCAGATGGTGAGCTGAGCAGTGTTAGTGATGCAAATGATTCCTTTTGTTAGTCAACCACTAAGCTCTTAGGCTCCATAAAAGTAGACACGTTTTCCAGAAAGCAAGTCTGGCAGTTTGCTGTGTTGGCTGTATAAGGGGATCACCGTGTGCTATCAAGGATTTCTGTTCATGTTACCTAGTGTCGTTTTGAATTGGTTTCTGGTGTCTTGCCTGTGTTCATCCTGTATGTGTGACGTTCCCATGTGGAAGTCTTGTTTGTGTCCTGCTTGTCGTGATCAAGGGTTTGACTCCGGTGCTGCTGACTTTTCCATTCCTCGTTGTTGGCAGACATCCAACCCATAAGAAGAAAATTAGCTTCACAAAATCAAAACAACATCTAGAGATGAACGTCAGTTGAATAAGATCCTTATTTCAAAAGCTTGGAATGATGCTGTTGTGGCTCTTTCTTGATTGAGACACTCTAGAGAAACCATTATCCGATTATCAGACTTGGGTATGACTGCAAGATACTGATTTCAAAGCCACTACTTTCTTTTAAGCAGAAATAGAAGCATTTAATATTGGTCTAGAGACCATCAAAGTTTGTCTTTTGATCACTGGAATCAGGTCATTTTCAGTGATTAATCAAAATTCTGCATTTCCTTTGGTAATTGTGGTCACTACATTTGGAGAAAGTCATACAAGAGATACAATACTAAATGTATGGAGGTGAGGTGGGAATGTGAATTCTCTCAGTCTGTGATGACTTCAGGTTGTATATCTGTCACCAGTACCAGAAAGATCTGTTTCTTGAAAAGGTTGGTTAATGCTGCTGTCAATCCGGATGTCCATATCATTTCCATATCCTATACATTGAGGACAAGTTTGGGAACAATGAATTTATCTTTCAACATGACCTTGCTCCATCGCCATACAGCAAAATCTATAAAAGAATGGTTTAGAGAGAAGAGGTTAACTGTTCTTGATTGGCCTGCAAATAGCTCAGATGCAAATCCAATAGAAAATTTCTAGAGAATCCTTAAGAGGAGATCAAGAAAATATATTCATCAAATCTTGGAGAATTGAGGTGGGGGGACATCAGTGATACCAGAAGATTAATTGGTTTGTTACTACAGCGAATGAAAGGAATAATCAATGCAAACAGTACTACAACAAAGTATTAATTTACTAGCACAGTTCTTCAAAATTGTGTCCATCAATAAATACTTTGTCTTGATAAAAAAAATAACAGCATTTTTGTCTTTTTGTTAACTTGCTATCACAATCTTCAAATCTTTTTCATAGAAAACCTTTGTTGGAGAAATACTTTGTGTATATCTAATTCATCCTTGTTTAACAGTAAACTGTCAAATTTTAAATAAATTCAAGCAAGAAATATGAATTTTGTTCACAAAAGGTGGAATATTCTATTTTTCCGAATTGTTATTGTACTGCACTCATATGATTCTTTGTTCAGACACTTCAAATAGATTACAGCTGTTGATTGTCATTCCAGTTGGTGGAATATCTAATATGGTGCAACAAAGTTTGGTTACACTGTAAACATTGCTTTGTCTTTTCTCTCCAATTCCCTATGCTATGTAATATATAATCAATTTCTCTTTTTAGACTCTGCTTTTTGAGAAGGCAAAAAGATTTTTTTTTTTTACTAATGAAATTAGACTCTTTGCTTAGTGTTCTTCAGAAGCCTCTTTACCTTTCCTTGATAGTTTCTTCCCTTCTCTTTCACTTTTTAATATTTGAAATTCTTAAAGGTTCTCTGAAAGTGTTTGATTTTATTTATTTTTTTTTTTTTTCCAAACTGTAAATTTTTAGTCTTTTTGTCTTCTCCTTATCTGCATTTTCTTTTAATAAAACACCTCTTTACAGCTAGTTTTTTCTGATCCATTCTCCGTTTTCTTGTTGTTGCTGCTTTTGTTGTCTTGTGCTGATATTGTCAATTCTACAAACTTGTTTCATGTTTTTCTGTGGTCTACACATTTTAGGTGTTTGTTTCTCTGTGGACTTTTTTCTCTCATGAAATGGTATAAACCTGCTTCTGACAGATATTTTTTTTTCAGCCATCACTTGTCAATTCAGTATTTCTTTAACTGATATTTATTCGCTATTTATTGCTGTGGAATTCAGAATTTTCAACCTAGACATTCTTAAACTTGAACTACTTTATTCTCTTTCAAATGATCCAGAATAGTTCATTAGCTGTGCACTTTTCTCCCCATTTTGTATTGCAGTGTCATTGCTCACTAATCCATGACTTTTGCGTTGCAACATTCTCTTGCCTATTTTAACCCTCTCTAATAATGCCATTATTAACATGGTATGGAGCTGTTTTAATCCCCACTGTTCCTTTGCTCTCCTATAGTCTTCCAAACAAGTTGATCTCAAATATGGAACCAGATTGCTTTTTTGCATACTGTTCAGTAAATATTAATAATAATAATTCTAATGCTTTTAAATGAGCTAAACTTAGTTATCTCATTGTTGAAAAAAAATGAGTTTATTTTTTATTGATATTGAAAACCTAGCAGTAGTGAAATATGATTTTGCTTTGAGTAATTTTATTATACAAGTAACTTTTATTTCAATTAGTTTGATTGTGAAACCTTTCAATTTGTTTGGCTTTCTCTCTCTCTTTGTGGACTTGTAATAATCTTGACAGAAACTGTAAGTGTTGACTATAGCTGACAAATTTCCTAAGTGTTCTCATTCATAAATCATACAAGTTCAAAAAATACAACACTAAACTTTTTAATTTTATTTTATAAGATCCACACAATTCTTATTGGTAAGGTTGTTGATGAAATGGGTATGGGTTAACACTAAAAGCAAAAGTGAAAGAACTAAGTTGAAGCACATTTTTTACATTTAAAAAATGAATTTTTCTTAGTGATTTTTGTTTCATTTACCATAAATTGCTTTACAGAGCCTTATAAATGTGTATAATTTCAAAAAATGCTGGAATTTGTTCTATAGATTAAGATTTCATTTAGAAATATGCACAGTAATTTAACAGATTATGCATGTTAGTAAAGTAACTCTTTAGTTTATGTAACTGGTATTGGATTAAAGCAAATTTAGAAATAACCTTTTTGTGGGCAAATGTTGCTGTTTGAATAAAATATAGAACTGAATAAATCTATAGAAAAGTTGATAGTTTAGAATTGTGAGAAATTGACTTTTCATTAAATCTTTTATATGAATCTATTTGTTTTGTGTACTTTAGTCTCTTTACTTGTAATACCATGCCAAGATGTCATCTATTGGACTGTGTGATTGATTTGTTTTTGATTATTACAATGAAGCAATTCTATAGATGCTGCCTAATCAACAAATTATCTCGTTTTGCTCATAATGACATTTTCTTCAAGTACAACTTTTGAAATGTAGAGTTCCTCTTCTAATTTTTTGAATAGTTATTGTTATTTTTGTGACAGTATGCATTTAGTCTTTTGCAAGCAAAATACCATTTTTGGAGAGCCTAAGAAGTACCTAATTTTTTTTCATTATTTTAATATACTCTTTATATTTGATTATCTAAAAAAAATTATTGGCTTGTACTTTGAATCAAGCATAATTTAATCTATGAAATCTTCAAATTTCATATTGCAAGATAAGTCCTCTTAATTGATAAACAAGTATTAGAAAATGCTTGTGTTATAAGCTTCAATAAAAGCTCGTATAGATAATTTACAAAAAAACAATTTCCTCACTTGATATAAATATGTTGAATATTATAAATCATAAATAACAGCTTTGTTACATCTTGATTTGGCTGATATATAGTAAAATGTTTGCTTTTAGTCTCCCAGATGAAAGTTATTTTTTTAGGGTTTAGAATCACAACTCCATAACAATAGTACATTACGTTAGTTGTCAATGTTCGTTTAGATTCCATGTTACCCTTTTTAAGATTCCAGTTATTATTAACATTAGACTGAAAGTTGCAATCAAATGTCTATCATAAAAGTTTGGATGATTCTAAATTTTAATTGAAAATTTTAGTTAATATATATTTTGATATATTTGTTACTAGTTTTAAATTTAAATAGATTCTATTTAGCTATGATCAAACGGATATGTTCATTTATTTTTATATAATTAAAATTATTGTAATGAAAATAAGATTATACTTTAGTAGCTCAATATACATTTCAATACAAGCTGTAAATGTAGAAATTTAATTGGAATCTTTGACATTTTAGTGATTTTCCTGTCTATAAATAAGCAACATTGTTTTGGTTATTTTATAATAATCTTACTAACATACTTGCCCAATTGTTCAAACTCCCTTGACATGTAGCCAGAAACTATAGCTGCTTCAGTTTTTTCTTTATCATAAAACTCTGTCTGTGTATATTTTGTTTCTATTTAGCTCCCTACCAGCATCAGATTTGGCTGTCAGTGTTCCCTTGAAAATTTTGGTGTCACCTATGTGCATGATTTTTTTTCTTTTTTTTTTTTTTTTTCTCCTCCTTCAAGAATATTTTTCAGAACTTTTGGGTGTTTCTTTTTCTTCCTTTCTCTCTTCTCACCAAAAGGTGGTAAGGTGCTCACTGACAAAACTCCAGCCTCACTGTTCATGGTTATTTTGTGGATTTGATCAAAGATTTGAGTCTTGTCATTTTGGTGTTGCTGTCTTTTAGTTCTGCGCAGAAAGTATCTTGATAATAAATTTTCTTTTCTCCTCTTATTTTGCTGTGTTTTAAAATTCACATTTTCTAAATTAACCAATATTATAATAAAATTATTTCCAAATGTACACATTAACAATTCTTCAATGCTTGTGCAGTAGTTTTCTCTTTTACATAATTTAGCAAGAAGATTAAAAAGGGTGTATTTTAATTCTAATTGTTTCTCTTTTTTTTCTTCTTGCTATTCTTACTATTTAAAATAGGAATTACAAAGACAAAAATCAGATTATGAGCGACGGAAAAAGCATGCAGAACAGCTTCGAATGAAGCAAGAAGAAGAAGAGCGTGAAGAAAGAGAGCGTGAAGAGACACGACGAGCTGCTATCAAACTGCAAGAGAAGCGAGCTCAGATTGAGCGGCAACGAGAGCAAGAAGCAGCTCGACAACGGGAGCAAGAAGAGAAGGAGGAAATGGAGGAAGAGGCTGAGCGCCAGAAGAGATTGGAGCAACAAGAACGTGAAATGGAAGAAGCTAAAAAGCGAGAAGAGGCTGCAAAGTTGAAGCAGGATGAAGAAAAGAAACAAGAGATCATCAAGAAAGAGAAAGAAGAATCAGTAACCAAAAGTAAAGCAGATAATAAGTATGTATTGTTTCTTGATTTATTTTTTCTCTCTAATCATTTTCTCTACATTCATGCTCATTGTAGAAATTTTAATTAAAATATTTTTTTAATGCCTTAAAAGCTCTGACCAAAAGATGATTATAAATTACTGTAATGACTATTAGGAATAATTGACATTATTGCATGTAGGGCTAAAAACTTATATATTTTTCTTTTTACATTTTTATAAAACTATCATTAGTTAGATATTCTTATCAACAGTGTTGATGATCAAAATTATTAGTAATTTTGTTGCTGATCTAGTTTCACCTCTTGATGAATTTTGTTCTTAAAATTGAAGAGACCTTAAAATAGGTTAACGTGTTACTCTACATTTTCATAGATAAAATCAATTAAAAGAATATTATTTCAATGTGTTACAGAAAGTTCATAAAATTAAAAAAAAATCGTTTTTGTTGTCTAATTGGCTGGGAAACAGGAAAAGTTTGTTCAGTATTGCTATTTTCAAAAACTCTATATAATACTGTTCTTGCTTTGAGCTTCAGGACATGGATTAAAGTTAATTTTGTTTCTTTTAATTTCTCTTTTAAATGGTTTAAAATGTTCTAAATTCCTTTTATACAGAGAAAAAAAATTGTATGAAATGTTTTATCAGTATTGATACAAAACAATGGAATCTGATTTCACACTATCTACTTTAATGTCCAAAGATGAATAGGATAAACAGAACAAATCAATAAAAGATGAAATATTTCCTCTCTGAACAACTTGAGTATTTCTAAGAATAGAATTGTCTTTGGATTGTATCAGCAAAAACAGGCATAGAATTTTAAGAAAATTCAATAGAAAAATATTTCTAGTGTTATTTTTTTTTATGTAGGTATTTCAAATAGCATTAAATCTGTTTAAAATATTAACTTTAATTTTGAATTAAAATATCTAAAACTTTCAATATAAAAAATGATTTTACTGATTGTTTACATTATTATATTATTTCTGCAGTAATTAAAATTCTGTCTTTCAATGATTAAACTTATTGTTATGATAAAAGCATATACACACATACACAAAACCCTTAAAAGAAGAAATAATTTCCTTGTTATTACTCTGCATATTTATTTTCTGGCACAATTATTTTCCTTCTACAAGAACCAAAGAAACATCAAAGCTGAAGCGGACTCCTGTAGATAACTGCCTCAGGTATTGTGTAATGTCTGCTGGTTGCTTCATTTCAAGCTCCTTCAATTTTTTTAATAGCATCCATGAATCTTGCTCACCTCTGATTGGTTCTTTTACAAACTATTTTTTTTTTTTTTTAAATATTTAACTGATTTTTTTTGTGTTTGTAATTTTTTTGTTTTACCTTCTAATCTGATTGTTCTCAATAACCACAGATGTGTTCCAATTAATGCTGTTATGTAGAAATGAGCTTATATAATATCCCTCAGTCAATTAATCCATTCTTGCATCTATTGTGCATATTGATTCAGTGGTCTTAATTTTGAAATGAAAACTAAAAACACTATTTATTCACTGAAAATGATGGGTAAGAATTTTAATTTGGCTCTTTCCTCTCAATAAGCCAATAGCACAAATCATAACATATTTTTTTTCAAATGCCTTTGTGAACTTTTTTGATTTGCTTTATCACAGTATTAATATAAGCTGGCTGTCAGATTGGTACGTTTGGTTTTGAGTTTTTCTGAGACTAGCAGTGATTATTAATTTGTTTCTGATAACTTATTCTGCAAAGCAACTAGTGGAAATAGCTTATGCAAATAAAAGCAAAAGAACTTTTAAAGATTTTACTAAGATAAAAACAGATTGTTTACAGTCCTGAATTATTTACATTTTATGATCAGGTTCCTTACTCGTGAGAAACTAAACTGCTTCTTTTGTAGGTAAAGAAAATAACTTCTTTGAACATTTGTCTGTTAGTTATGTAATCTTATAACTTGTTAAAGTTCTATAGGACTGAAATTTAAAAAAAAAAAAATATCAAAATCTTACTCCAGTTATAGGTATTTTTATGTTATATACTATGATGTTCTTGTCCAAGACTAACAGTCCAAAATTTTAAGAAAATCCTTTTGCAATATTCTGTTATTTTTCCACATTAACAATTGAAATGACTTACAAGTTTTATCAGTTAGTCAAAATGGAGATCATGTTACACATTGTCAATTTTATTTAGACACAAGAACACTCCTTTCATAACTTTTTTCTTCTTTTTTTTAATGCCATGTCCATTCAGGATGTATGTTATCATGGTTCTCCACAAATTCTGTTTGTTTGTCTGTGAATTATCATTAATTCTTGGGAAAGTTAATGGAGTGGTTTTTGTTATCTATGCCAGTTTTTAAATTAGAGCTGTCCTTCTAGTCTGGTTGTCACCTTAGCTCAGTCTGCTTTGCTATTGTCACTGGTGAGGAGAAGAAATGCATCTTTCCCAAAGGCATTAATGTGAAATGAATGCAACAAAATAGGATAAAATTTGAACTCCACTCACCTGTCCCCCTTTTCATTCTCAGAACCATTGCACATCCCATCTTTTAATAAGTTTCTTAAAAATTTGGTAGTTGTGAATGATAGTTTATTTGGTATAATTGTTTTTCTTAAAATGTTTCAATTAAATTATTTTTATAATCTTCAATTGTTGATTCACTGAATATACTGTATAACTGGATTAATTAATGATCATTAGAATTAAATGAAAACTGTTGCAAATGCTTATTTGAGGTACAAATATCACCTTAATATTTTTGGTCTAGTTTTATATTTCTAATATTTGTATTCAATTTAAAAATATACTGATCAGTCTTGCACTCACTGCAAATTTTCTCTTTCAGGATTTATATTTAAATTTTTTACAAACATGTTGTTTTGAGATTTCCATTTTATTTACCTTTTTTAACTGTTGATTAATCTTTTAGCATTCAACTATAAGAATGTCTTCTCCACTAGCTAATAGTGCTATTTGCATATCCACATCAATGTTTTACTACCCACACATTTTGCACCTGTTTAATGAAGTCGTTCTGTACAGCTTTCTCCCTTTTAATTTATAAATGAAACTTGGGTAAACAGTTACCTTTTGTGAATATACTTTTAATAGTTACAGATATGTACCAATAAAATCCTACTTCTAATTGAATTTTGATAGTAACTTCTTTATTGTACTCAAATGAATTTTTATTTTCAATTTGCAAATTAGTTTTAATTAGAGGTCACAAGCTACAGCTTGTTTGAAATTCTTTAATTCTTAAGTCCTTTGAGATCTATTTGTCATGGTACCTTGTAATTAGAAAATCCCTGTTTATACTTTTTTCCCATCAATTTCATAAAGTCTTTAGGATGGATCTTTTTTTTTTTTTTTTTTAAATGCAGACATATTCTAAAAAATTTTTAAACAGTGTAAGAAATAATTAGTTTGATTATCAGAGAAAACTAAGTGTTTATTATTTCTTGATTCTAAGTCATTTGGAAAATGAAATTTTGTTTCAATGTTTTGAAAACTATTTCGGCATTAAAATCTTTCATTTTTGATAATGCCTAGTTTGTTGTTAGATTAATTTATATATTCGCTTGGTTAGTCTCAAAAGGAAATAAAAAAAAAAAAAAAAAATGGACAGAAAAAAATGTGTTAAATTGGAAATAATTATAAAAATAATTATTCTTGAAACTTTTTTGTAAAAAGGAAGAAATAAAATTTAATGATCAACAATTTATTTTCATTGTCCAATCTCAGCATAATTGTTACAGATTTGACTTGTAGCATAGTAGCTTTTAAATCTTGGATTGTATTGGTGAATTTAAGTTTCAGATCTTGCATCTGGCTGACAACAACTCCACCTTCCAGTTGACTCCTTTCTTGTTTTATCATGTTAATTTATTTTTAATTTGTGTGTTTTAATAACACATTTGATTTTAATAGCACTATCTGATATATTTTATTTTTTCCTTTGCTCATTAATATGCATGATTAAAAAAAAAAAAAAAAAAATTGCTTTTGCGGGTTTATAAGATAAACAGACTGACATTGAAAGTTTATAAACTTGAATATCAAAGAAAATTATTGTTTTTTTCCTTCAGAATCTATCTGATTTTTATAATATTAAGGCCATAAAAGTTTCAAAGTGCAGGTTTACTGTACATTAAATTCTTTGTTGAAAAATAAATTAGCAATTATTTTATCAAATACCGAATGACTTTTCTTGTCCTATAAGATCAGGTTTAACAGTTCTAAAAATTGTTTTCCTGACAGTTTGATTGTCATTTCTAAGAAAAATCTTACAAGCATTTTTAATTTCACCCATTTCATATTTCTAGTTGCAAATGGAAATATATGCATAATGAAAAACTGACTTATTGGATTTCTTTCAACTCAAGAAAATATAAAGTGTAAAAAAAAGTCACTTAAATTTTTATAATGTACATATTCAAATTTAGTATTTTATATGAGCAAGTAAAAAATATTTTGAATACTTGAAATTTTTTCAGGCTTGCTACTGAAATTATTAATTTGGCCTGTTTGAATAATGTTTCTTCACTGGGTACATTTGAAATTTTTATGTTAAAAAAAAAAAACAAAAAAAAAACTTGTCAAATGCTAAATGATTTAATTTCTCAAATTAAACCCTTTTTTCCTGACCTAAGTTTTGGTGGGGACAAATTCTTTTAAGAATTGTAATTAGTTCTTGTCCCATTTTAAAATAATTTTTGAGTTTTTCCCTTTTGATATTTTATCTTTATGGACAACTTATTAATAACTTGTCTTATTTAATTCCTCTTTGCAGTTATATGAAGTGATCTCTGATGAAATTGGGTTGTCTTCTTTCACTGTCTATCCTACAATTATTTTTATTGCTATTTTTTTTCTCAAATGTCATTCTCTTTCTCTTTACCATCACCTGTTCTCTCTTAGTGAGATACTGCATGAATCTCCTCTGCCTACATTTTTTCCAGCTTTGTACATCTGCCTTTGACGGATTTCTATGAAAACTGTACCGAATATGACTACGAAAGCATGGACTCTTCCTCCAGCATGCTTTATAGGTACGATTACTAATACAGTTGGTACAGTTGTTTCCCTATAGTTTGTAGCATAGTATCCTTGCTTCATCGCTATTCAGCTCCATTCTATGCTTTATTTAGCCTAGCAAACTGTTTCAAATTTTCCAACTTTTTTTTTATCTAGGAAATATTTTTTACTTTGTTATTAGCAAAAAAAAAAAAAATAATCTCTTTGCAAATCACAATGCACTGCTAATTATAACATTTTAATAATTGGTTACTTTTTATCTTTGATCAAACAGTTTTCTCATTTTATGCAAATGAGTTATAATTTGAAAACAATTGTCACTGAAAAATATTGGCCATTCTAGCAAATAAGTGCTAGGAGTGGAAATGGGCATTTCCAGAGTTGTGACCAGTTTCCCCAAATTATCCCAGTAAATTTTTTTCTACCCTGGTACTGGGATGTAGAATTGACATTAAAAAATGTTAAATGATCATATTGGTATGCACACATATTCAGGCTTAGTCATTCTTTTTACTTTTACTATTAATACTGTTATCTTGATTTCTTAAATTGAAAGGAAGAATCTCATCAGCAATTTGCAAACTGTCAATTTATTTTTTACTTTGTCAGTGAATTCCGGTTAAGCTATTTCAGAATTTCCTTAAAAATAATTCTAAATTTGCAAATTGTATAAAGAAATATTAATAAAAGAAATGTTTAGTAAAGTAATAGTCTCGTTAAGTTACAGTTAGGTTAATATGAATTAATCATTCAATTACTGTGATAGCATTTCCACTTAAAATATGTTATATTCTAGCCAGATAGTCTATAAAACAAGTTCTAAAATTGTATCTTTATGCATTACAACCCATGAAACCTCTCTTGTTCAAATCATTTTCTGTATTCTGTTCAACTAATATTTCTGAATGTAAAGTTAGATTAACATTATCCATTTTTCTTTCATCAGTTAATGATACTTAGATCTGTACTGTCTTAGTTAAGGAAAATGCTTATTATTTAACTGGCTGCTATGTAGTTACCTTGTCATTTTGCATATGAGATGTATGCCTGTTTGAATTTGCCTTGTATTAAAGACTTTTACCTAAAATGGATCAGATTTGGAAGCTAAGAATTTAAAAAAAAACATCAACTTTTTCAGAATTATGTATGTCATGGCTATGAATTATGAGTCAATCAAGGAAGAATGAAGTTTGAATGGTATAAAACTGTTTAGTATTATCATCTTGTTGATAGTGCATTTCAAAGTTTAATTGGTGGAAAATTGCAAAGAGGGAACTTTGGTTGCTCACAAGATTTCATTTGAGAGCCAAACACCATCTTCAACAAGCTTTTAACCAAGAATGTTAACCTTTCATTTTTGTATTGCATTGTTACAATTCTTACGTGTGATGAAAAAATGGATTTTTCATGTCAACAGAAAATGAAAAAGATAGTGGTTATTACAAAATGAGAAACCAAAACCATACACATTTTGGTGAATTTTGAGGAAATCTCATTAACAATTGTAAAAGTCAGCAAACTTTCTGAGAGCAGTTGATAAATGATAGGAAAATAAAATTTTCAAAGTAAAGCTGAAATCATTTGGAATCTGGAAAACTCAAGGTTGATGATAGGTACAAAAAATAAAACCAAAAGAGAACAGAAGTGATTTGAGAAAGTTTCACTACTTATATTTTCACTTCCTCTTAAGAACTCTATTTTTAACTTGGTAATCTGAGAAGCTATCTGCACTTGATTCAGTTTTCCTTTCTTTCCATTGTAAATGTCTTTATCATAGACATTTATGCTTTTGTTTCCATGATAAACTGTTGTCCCATTTTAATAATTTACTCTTCCTCCTTGCTTAAAAATGCTTACCAGTGCATTGCTGATTATTAGTTTTCATATCTGTTTTTTTTCCTAATTATGCATGTCACTCACCAATACTTTATTTTTTATTTTACATTCTCTTCCTTCTTCCTGACAACCTACATCTATGGTATCTATATCAAGTTATTTATTTTCTAAGCTTAGCTTAGACAAATATGGGGTATCCAGTGAGGATTGAACTCCCTACACAATAATAATGGTCAGACAATCTTGCTAAGCATTACCTGCATACCATGGCACCCATGTTGTTAACCGTTACATACTTACCAGCCAACTTATTTATTTATTCAGTATTCTTATCAGCATGTGAAATTGATGTTAAAACCATAATGCAGTTTTTCTTTGATGTCTCTCCAATGTGTTGTAGTTTTTATTTTTAGTTTCATCCATGTGTTCTCCTTGGCTCATTTTCCTGGTGTTTTATTTTGTGACTTAGATAGAAAATCTTTTTATTTTTATATCAATTGGAATTTATTTAATTTTTTTTTTTTTTTTTTTTTTTTTTTAATAAATCTAGAATCAAATTCATGTTGCAATATAATTTGATACGAATGTCTTATATAAATTTATTTAGTCTTTATATTTTCAAAATATATTTTTATTTGCAGTATTTTGTATTAAAAAATATTGTTTGAAATATCATAGGTATTACATATTAATTTTTTGCTTAAATGCTTTGTTTTTTTTTTTTTTTCTTATTTGTTTTGGTATATGTTAGCCTTAATAAGATTGAATAATGTTTCATGGCAGGAAACTTGTCACAATTTTATATTTTGCTTTTTAAAAAAAATATTTACCCACATATTCATATACAGGAATCCCTCAATTAGTATGGTTAATGTGTACATTGGTAAAAAAAATCAATTTTCAATTACTATGGTTAAACTGAAGAATGTTTTACTGCACTAATCAAGTATTATGTATACACTAATCGAATTTTGGTATATAAAAGTTTTAGCAGATTAATTGAAAACACATTAATCAAATGTGCACTAATTGAGGGATTCCTGTATAGTCATTTTGAACTGATCATGCTAATGTTTTATCTAAGATCTTGTGTAAACAGTTAGTCAGTTGTAAAACACATTTTGTTTGCTTCTATAGAGTAATTGGCAAAACATGCCCAGCAAATGGAATTGGAGTTTCTAATAAACAATAAGAAAAAAAAAGAAAAAGAGCAGGACAAAATAATGCTAAGCAAACACACACACATATATATATATATATGTATGGCAAAACTAAGCAAAGTAACAAATAAGGCAGAAAATTCACAAAATAAGAATGGTATTCATACGTAAAAGGGATATAGCCAAGTGGTTGTGGTGTTTTGACTTCAAGACAAGAATGTATGAAAATATGGCAGATGTAACTGAGTAGTAGTCCATTTTATTGGTTAGGAAGAAATCCCAGTATGCATCTGTACAATTTGTCTATAAATTTGGTAGTCGTGGGATGTTTGTAGCAATTATTCTTATTGGATTGGAATCAACAACTTCTTTTGGAAGTATTTTTAATTACATAACTGGTTCTTTTGTAAATTGCAGTCATAATTATGAAATAATATCAAGAAGATTTATGTTTATTATTTAAGTAAACAAACAGATTTTTAATTAAATATATTACACTTGGGTAGGTTGAACTTTTAGTATAGATCTAATAAATTTATTTGTTACATGCAATTAGAATTTTTGTAAATGAAGAAATATATGAATTATCTAATTTTAACATAACCATCCTGGTTTCTATGATTAGAAGAACTTCACCTCAAGTGTTTCATGAGTTCTTCTTTCTTAATTTTTGCTTTCCTCACTGAAATTTTGTTATATCTTAGTTTTTTTGTTTTTTTTTAATATTCAGTTAAATGTTTTTTTTATTTTTTAATAACTATCTAAAGGTAACATTTCATCATGATTTATAAAAATGTTTTTTCCTAAAGTAAAATATGATGAAAGAAGCAGATTATGAATTGTTTGAAAGTTCTTCTACTTAAATTATTATAAAAATAAACTGCTAATAAGGAATTCAACATTGGTTTCAAGTCTGCTTTAAGAGGATATTTTTGACTAGAGCAACATTGTTAGGAACACCAAAGTTTGACATGCTACATAAATATGATTTTAATTTTTTTTTTTTTTTTTTTTTTTTTTTAAATCAATTTTTACAAATTTATTTTCTTTTAAAAATGTCAAAAGTAAAGTAGACTGGTTTATCATTTGATTATTTCTGTCTCTTGGTCTCCTACCTGTATGTTCTTGAATTATACCATTAAACTTGAATTATAATATTGTATAAAACAACTTCAAAAATAATTTGGAGTAACAGTTTTTTGATTAACAAGTCTGAAACTGAAGATCTTAAATAAGTAATGATGGCTTTTTTTTCTTTGGCACATTAAAAACAAGTAGATATTTTATTAAAATTGTTCTTATCAATAATTTTTCATAAGAAAATGCCATGTCAATTTGAACACCTTTGTGAGTTTTTTTTTTTTTTTATTACAGAACATATTGTCTTTGGATGCTATTTATTGCTTGCAATTTCTACTCTGTGATTTCACTTTTTAATTTACTAATAGCTTTCAAATATGTTATGGGTAATAAGATCTTTTGAGAGTATTCTACAGTGTCCTATTTTAAGTCTGTAGTTTCATAATAAAATTAGTATTAGGCAAACAGGGTTAAAACTTTAATGAGTAATATAGTATAAATTTTAGCTTCACTGGCCAACAAATTTTTTTGGCATATTAGGTGAGACAGTTTTTTGGGTATATTGGGGTTGCTGAATTTGAAGAGCACATTGGTTTTGTCCAATTGGTTCTAGTTTTTAAGATATTGCTGTAATGTTTTTGTGTCTGCAAATCTGTACACAATGATACTAATTGGATTACTGGTGCATGACTATTTCAACAAAACCACACTTATTATGATATTTAGGCTATTAATTGGTAATCAAACAAGGTTGAATAAATGTATCATGTTTTCTGATTGTATATGAATAATTAAAATGTGATATTTACTTACAGCATGCTACTGTTTTAACCCTGAACAAAGAGCCAGAACATTGTCCAGTAGTATCCTCATTTATTACAAGAGATTAATGAAAAATTATAAAATAAAAATATGATTTCCAATCAAATTTCACACCAAAAGTAAACTAGCAAAATATGTAATTTAAGCTATTTACAAACCCAATATCGCAAGCTGTCCAAATCATTGTATCTTCATCTTTAGGAAGCTTCTCTTGTATGACTTTGTGAGTTTTCTGAGTGCAATCAGACATAAGACTCCAGCAGTAATTGGACATCATTTGGGTGTTTCATCAGCCTTGGTATTGCTCCTCCATAGTCTTGATGGAAATGTTCTCCACATTCTTTGCTTACACCACCAATGTTTTCAGGGAATCTGTCTAAATGGCTAAACAGGTAACGGATTTTGATACTCATTCTTGTCCCAAGAGCTCAGAGGTTTTTTTTAACATAACTTCAACTAGTTCCTGGTAGTTACCTGCTTTCATTTTTGCCCAGGAAGCCTTTCACAACTGTGACCAAAGAAATCCACACAGAAGCTGCAATCTCAGTCATATTGGAGACAAAATTTTCATTGTTAATATTTGTGACCTATCAAAAATTCCTGCCTTCAGTTTCTCATTACTAGACCAGGAAATTTTGCACAGATATAACTGAAGCACACACCATCTTGATCTAATACCTTGACAAATTGTTTCATTAGACCCAACTTGATATGTAGTGGGTGCAGGATGATGTGATCATGGTTAACCAGCAGCTCATTTATTACATTTTTCGTCCCAGCAACAAACTTGTCATGAATAGGCCAATCCTTATTTTCTCAGTGCTGATTATTGGCTCTGCTGTCCCATAGACAAATGAAACCTGGGTACTTGGTAAAACCACCTTGCTGCCCTAACAAAATTTAACCATTTTAAAATCCACACATATCATCATAACACAGTTTTTGTAGAACAATCTTTTAGTTCTTTGTAGTGCTCCTTCAACATCACTGAATGTCCAATTGGGATACATGCAAACTTGCCACCATTGTGTAACAATACACACTTCAAATTTCGTTTAGAGCTGTCAATAAATAAATGTCACTCATCTGGATTGTACTTAGGCAGTTCAATTGATAAAAGAAGGCCTTGGATGTTGCAAAAACAGTCATCATCTTTGCTAAAATAACAAACAAGTTCTTTGTCTCTGTTATGGTAAAATGTTATTTTAGCTTCAGAGTCAAGAACATGATGCTCTTTGAGTCAGGAGCCCAAAATCTCCGCTGCCTCTTTTGACAAAGTTAGATCTCTAACCAAGTCATTCAGCTCTCCTTATGTGAAAAGCTTCACTTTTGCAGTCTGAAAATCTCCCAAATATAAATGATAAATTCTACTGCTGCTGTTGCTGCTATTGTTGGAAACTTCATGCATTGCTTCTGCAATATTCATATTATCAACATCTTGATCAAAATCAGGCAAAGAAGTAAAAACTGGAATGGAACACCACTATAATGTGGAACTGGCTGTCTTACAGATTCAATATCAGGATAGTGCCATGACTTCTTGTGATGGTTCTATCCTAACATGTTCACCATAAGGAAATAGCAATTGGTATGATTTTTTGGCTCTTGCCACACTATTGATACCTCAAACTTCATTGACTTGACTTTATCTTGGGTTCACAAGTGAAGGGTTTCATTACAATTTTTACAAACATTGTGAGGAGCCCATGACTTACCTTGATCGCCAATCTTTACACCAAATTAAACTCGATATGCTCTTTTGGTGAAATCTTGAGCATTTAAATGATGCTCTTTTACAGTATATTCACCACATATGTAGCAGAAAATGTCGGGGTCGTTGTGGCAACATTTATGCTTAAAATGATGCTCTTTTACAGTATATTCACCACATATGTAGCAGAAAATGTTGGGGTCGTTGTGGCAACATTTATGCTTAAAATCCATGTTTAAAGTTTAGTATATTTGACACTGACAGAAATTCTGTCTACAAGCCTGGTAGCATCAAATTGGCTAGAGCTCTCTGGCTTCTGTACAATCATTCATATATGTAACAAGAACAATAATATTAAGAGTTTCTCCTTTAATATCTGAAGAATTATACAATTTTAAAGAATCTTATATCCCAGGCTAATAGGATAAACAATGAATATAAATTAAAAGAGCAATTGTATTTTAAATACAAACAATATTTATATTTTGTCTCACCTTACTTGATGCAGGTGGATGAAAAAGGACTAAAATCAATCTGTGTGTCTTTAAACAGCAACCACCTTGTTTTTCTCCCTGTCAGGAAGTAATTTTCTGTACTCAAAGTGAAGAATTCTTTCTTGGGTAGTTATCTCCCCCAACATAACGCAACAAGTAGAGAGCAAATCTAGCATGTTTGGAGAAAATTAAATCATTGAAATTTAATGATGTCAATATCTTGAAAAGTAGAGTTAATTCAACAGGATTAAGTACATTTTTGGACTTGGCAGCCCTTATTTACACTAAAATGTTCTGATATCTTGTGCCATTTGAAAAAAAAGATTTTTTTGTTGGTTGGTGTAATAATCTTCCTTGTTTGAATATTGTTTTCTTTTAAAAATATATTCATAACTTGTTTTGCAGGTATCAATTTTTATTATGCAAACAACATACATCATACATATTTATTTATAAAAAGACAATTATACTTACAAAGATAGACAATAGAAATATTTAACCACAATATCCTATATACTTGAATAAATTATTTTATAGTTCTCCACCTTAATATGGTCTTGTTAACATTCTATAACCTTCATCAGTCTTTCAATCTTTTCTGTTCTCTTTTCTGTAGAGATTAAGGACCATTTCATTAATTTGGTCTTTGAAACCTTTTATTTTGTCAGGATGAGCAATAGTCCAATTTTCAGATGTGAGGTAGTATTGTCTTGCATGAATATACATTTTAGTTTAAAGCTTCTTGTTTATAACTTGCACCCTCAAATAATATCCTACCCAAGAATTTAGAATAATACTCTGCATTTGTCTTTAACCATCAACTTTTGAAGTGACCTACTGCTTATAATACTTGTCCATGACATGACTGTTTCTACCCTAAGTTATTTTGGTTGACTATTTCAATGAAGGGTCCAATCTCTAGCCCAGCTATTGGATCCATCTTGTATAAAACTTTGACTTGCATAATAAAATCTGACATTGTGTAATGAATATTATCAAATCAAGAAAATTTCTGGTGAAAAATCTGCTTAAGAATGCAGAAAAGTGTTGGTAACTTTTAGCATCAATTATTAGCTTTTGGTTTATATAGAAATATTTTTTTTGTGTTATGTAATGATTAGTTATTTTATGAAATTTTTTTTATTTCTGTAATTGATCTTTAAGTAATGAAAACTCTTCCTTCCTTAGGAAATATGCTCTAGGACCACGTGGTATAAAGGATGACAAAAAACTTGGTACGACAAGTACATATCGTCGTCCAGATGCTGTGAAGATGAGGAAACCTTCATCAGAATCAACAGTTTCTTCAGCTTCAAACCATGTGCAAAAGAAGTAGGTTGAAATTCATTGGTATTTTGAGGCATGTAAATTAAATCTGAAATTTAAATTATTTCTAATTCCTTTGATCTTAAATTTTGCAGTTTTCTATTTTAGCAATATTTATACCTACCATCTAAAGTACAGGAGTCTTATATTATCAGATGTAGACTATTTGGTTTCATTTCCTGTTTATAAATTCTATCAAATCAAAAGTGCTATTTGAGATTCTTGTTTCAGAAAATTCAAAAATAAATTTCCATTTTTTAAATTTTTATTTATTTATTTATTTATTTTTTTTTTGAGAATTACTGATTTAAGTTTGAACTTTAACTAAAGTTGCATTGTTTTGCATTTCTACAAAGCTAATCTCCAGGCTGGAGGTTTGTTGAGTCATGTATACTGATATGATGTATAATTATGCATCTTGTTTACAAATAACTATTATTGATTTCAGCCAGAATGTAATTTTCATTGATTTGCCTATAATTTTGCAGTGGAATTCCTGATGAAAACATGAACCCATCTCCTGTATCTTCAAATGCTCCAAGTCGAAGTTCTTCAACTAGCTCAATTCATAATACGAATGAACGAACAACTACAAAATCTTTGTCTGGCAGTCGGTTGCGTTTGGATAAGACCTCCACCTCTACGTCAAATGTGGTCCGCCGAACCAAGCCATCCACTGCCTCGGATAAGACAGGACCAGCTTCTGCTACCAATTCCAAAATAGCAGTTACAACTGGCAAATCACATACAACTGGAACAAAATCCAATCATCTAACTCCTGTGAGTAATTTCTGTGAGGAAAACTATGACTTATTCTTGAAAAAGTTCTGCTTTAAATGTTTGTTTAAATAGATAACAGCAGCAAAATAGTTTTGACTTTAAAAATACCTCAAATGGTTGTCCAGTATTTTTACCCTTTTTTCTTTATCTTGTTCTTATTAAACAAACAGATTGGAGAAACTGATTTGCTTATAAACATAACTAAAAATTATACAGGTCAATTGGTGAATAGTTTAATTTTCAAAACATTACTTTCTGTAGTTACCTTTTGGCATATATGCATTCTGTAACCATTTGCTAATTCTATGTGCAATTTATGTAAGAAAAAAAAAGCTAATTTATGAAATAATTATTTACCAACATAAAAATTTGTGTGCATTATGAACAAAATAGTTATACTAATCAAAACTAGTTAATATTTTTAGTGTAATGCATGCTTTTATTTGATATTTGGAATAACATTTTTTAGAGAGTTTATTTGAATATGTTTAATTAGTTGTTTAGAAAAATATTTTTTCATTCAGACATAAGATTATAAAAAATATTTTGTTGCTTTTCTCCTATTTCCTTTGGTAACTGTACATATAATTTCTTTCTAGAAATGTCAGTTTGATGGAAATAAGACCAAAGGAGGAAAAAAAAAAACAACATATCCTCAACACTTTGTGAAACTTATGTTTAGCTCTTATTGTATAATTGTTGTTCATATTGAATTCAATTTAGCTCTCTTGTTTCATTAGTTGACAACTCTCTTTTTGATCTCGTACATTTTTGCAAGGAGTTGCATTTCATATTTTCCTATGTTCATTGCTGTACATTTTATGAGATTATAGGTAACTTTGGTAGTTTGTGACATAGGGGGTTGCTACACAAAACTCTCCAGCTATGGCATCTCTAGAAAAGGTTCATGAGGGTTGTCATTAATGGTCAGTTCTCTGAAGCACTCAAAATTAATGCAGGCATCCCCCAAGGCTCTCTCCTCAGTCCTACCTTTCTGCTTAAGAATATTCTCAGATCATTAGTGTGTGTGTGTGTATATATATATATATATATATATATATATATATATATATATATATATATATATATATACAGCTGACCTCTTCTTTGACCTAACTCTCACAGTTCAGGTGTCTTTAGACTAGCTTGTGTCATTCAGCACCTTCAAAATAAATATTTCATCACTACCGAGCAAACCTTAAATTTATTGCCGTCCTGACGAACACTTGTACTTTAAATGAGGCTCCTTGCCTTGGAGTGTATTAGGACTAAAGCTCATCCCACACCTAAGTGGCACTTGTATATTTGTACCATTGCTACAATGCTGAAAAAAATGATTGGTTCCTTGTACTGCTCCAGAAAGTACCTAACTTCTTTTGCCATGGTCTATTTTAACAAGTGTTGGATCAGACCAAAAATGTTGTATTGCTGCCATATCTGGGCTGGAGCCGCCCAGTTTTCATATTCTAGCCATGACAGTTCAAAAGTCTTTATGCAACCTTGTGGGTGATGAATTATTCTTTACTCTACGACCCCTTTCCCACAGATGTAATGTTACTAGCCTCTCACTACTCCATCACTATTTTTCTGAGATGTTAGACAACTATGTATACATGGTCAAATCATCCTTATGCCCTTTGTATTCCATTGGTAAGGAAGAAGTTCTACTTACACTTCTTCTTGTCCAGAACTGATACTTTGTGGAACAGACTCCCTAGAGGTTGCTTCTCTGATCACTATGATTTTAACCTCTTCAAGCCTAGCATCAACTTTTATCTATCCTACATATCCTTATACACTTCTTACTTCCTCTGTTTATGACTTTACAACAACCTCATTCAGTAACCTTCTTCCATGAGTGACTCTTAAACCTTGTATTGGGTGAACAATAGCATATAAAACAAAAAAAATGCTAGGTATTGATAATTTCTTTGTTCAACATTGAGATCGATTATAAGTTGTTTTTTTTTTTTTTTTTTTTAAGCCGACATATGGAAATATTTATTTAAAAGAATACTTTTTACTTAATTTTTGTTAAGTGGCAAAATCAAGTGTCATTGCTAAGGTTGAGGAACTTTAAATGTTTAGTTTTATAGGTATGTTTAATGAAATAAATTGGCATGATTCTGATAAGAACTGTCATTGTTGGCAGAATTAGTTGCCAAGTATTGGGGTGCTCATTGACATTTCCTTTTGTGCAAAATGAATCCTATGTTGGATCTAAAGAGATGTCCGCAGCCATGGTAGAGCAGGAGGGTTCAGGGGATGGAGAGCTCTGGCTTTTCTTTGGGATCTTTTTTTTGTCTCTCCTACTCATCTTCTGGTGATTTTTGAAGGATGTTTTTTCATAGACTGCTCTTCTCCAATTGGTTCTTTCATGCTCAAAGGATGAGAATAAATCTCATTCATATAACAATTATTTGTATGCATTCTACAAAACTAGAGATGTTTTGAAGAAATGTTTTGCACTTGTAAAAATGAAAATTGGTAGGAAAATATTAATGCTTGGTGACACTGCAATTTAAAGATCTATGGAAATAGTTATAGAATTTCAGTAAAATTTACTATACTTATTTCATCAGTGATTAAATTTATTAAAATTTCTTTATAAAGAAAAAATTTTGATGAAAATATGTTTAATATATCCTCTATCCAATTTAAAATTATTTGCACTTTTAAATTATATTTTTTTTTCCTTCCCTGGAGAAATAAATTATGTCTGCTTTGATCACAGAAAAATAGCTAGATCAATAGTACAAATGTCTTACATTGAAAATTTAAAATAAACTGGAAAATAGCAAACTATTTTAACAATTGTTTAGTTTTGTTTGTGAAATTATACTTTAGGTTTGTTTGTAAAGAAAAAATAGGCATATGAGATTTATTTATTATTTTTTTTTATTTTAAAGATATTTTCCAAGAATATTCTAATAATTTGACAATTCATTTAAGTTCTTGTTTTATTCTTTTGCTTTAATTTTTAGAATGAAGATTACTTATTTAATAATGTTGGTGAATAATCTATTTAAAAATTATGGTTATAAAATATTTGGCATGTTAATTTTCAAAGATTTTTTTTTTTGTTATATGATTTTAATTTAGTATGTATGGAAATCCATTAGCATCAACCAGGTTAATGTTCTCTTTTAATTTTGAGATGTAGGATTTTTATTTCAGTAAATGGTAAAGATGTAAATATTGACCTTTAAAACAGCCCAATTCTAGTTTGAAGTTACTCAAGTCCATAATATTTTTTTGTAAAATTTCTTCCTTATAAAAAAACAAAGTAAGACATGATAAACTTTTGTTGTCCATTGTAAGCATGTTTGTTTTGGTATTTTAATTTCACTTTTTCACAGTGGTTTAACAAGCTTTTATTCATTTAGATATTAAATCACTTGTTAACCTGAACTGACTCACTAGAACCTTCTAGAAATTATAAGGGGACATTGCCCAGTTAGTTTTTGATTACTTTCTGTGAAATGGATTTATTCATTTTTGGTTTATAACAAAGAAATCGATGATTGAGTTTAATTCACCCACTTTTTGGAAAACTTTATCTAATTTATATTTTGTTTGCATTTAATGTTGAATATTTTATTGAATGGAAATATTTCTCTTCAAGATAGCTTCCTTACCTCCACCTCATCATTTTCAATGAGGAAAAAAACGTGTGTGATATATGTACATTCATACAAATTTTGGTAAAGATAATGGACAAATGTCGTCTATTATATTTTTTATCTTGTTGGTGGATTACTTTCTGTATGTTGCTGTTGGAGGAGGTGTAAAGGTACTATCCATAGTGCATGTTAGTACTTGTTAAGCTTCTGAGCAATTTTTTGCTGCTTTATATTACACTGAAATTTTATTGCGTTCTCTCATATTTTATGCTTCTTGGTACACCCTTGGTTTTTTTAAAGATAATTTGGGAAATGCTTAATTAAATATGAAAAAGATTTTGTGATGAAAAACTTTCATGATAAATCAGTATATATTTTAAACCTGCACAGTCATTTATGAAAAAAATCAAAAAAAAAGAAAAAAGTGGTACATTATGTAAAATCAGTCAATTTAAAAATACCAAAGCTCTTATCAATTAGTTTAATAGTGTCACATACAAGCAAAGCTGTGCATTTGTACATTTTGATCACAACTATTTCTCTCCATTTAATTAGTGAAGAAATATTTAAAGCCATGGATATGGCCAAACTGCACACAAACAGAAATTATAAGCAGTTAGAAATCAAGTACTGTTAAAAATCAATATTATTTCACAATGAAGTCATGTGGATCAAGAATGGCAATTGTGATTGCTTTGATATCATTTAGGTTTTCAATGGAGTAGAAATCTGTTACTACCTACTAAATTAACAAAAGTAGTTAAGGGAGATGTCTGGTTACATTGTGATGATGGTTTAGTGGTCATCAGGGGTGTAATGGCAGATATACAGATAAATTCAAGAACATTACAAAGATAGTTAAACACCAGTACGTTGGACCTGGTGTACAGTGTTTCATAGTTATGGTGCCATCTTCCATAATACATCGTCTGTGTGGCACTATATGAGGAAGATGGTGTTGTTTCTTCACCAGCTGTATGCCATAGAGGATTGTGCTGCATTTGCTATCTCTTGTTTGTGTCGATTTTTTGGGAACTTTTTGCCCATCATTGATTCCCAAGTGTAAGGTCCAACGTAACCGAGGACCTTCTGTACAATGTAATATTTATTATTTACCATTTTATAAAGAAATTTGAAAAATCTTTTGTTAAAAATTTATAAAAAAAAAAAAAATTACAAAATTATCAAAATATGTAAACCAACTATAATGCATATATTTATTATTTACAATTTTATGAATAACTATGAAAACAATAATTATGAAAATGTCTGGAAAATTCATTTTTTCAAAATTTATAATTATAGTTACTCATTGTTGTTTATTTTTTAAAAATGTCTTTTCATTTTTCAAATGGTAAATAGTAAATATTACATACTTCATATTTTTATAATCTCGTGAATATAAAATTATTCTTGCAAATAAGTAATCTAATAAATAAATAGTGTTTAATATCTTTGTCAATTCTCAAGAATAACAGATGTATAAATTCACTTTCATATATTTGAGTTTTATTAAAATTCTAAAACGAACATTGCTAAGAGTCAAAAATAGTAGCAGTGTCAAGGGAATAAAAATCTTTTTGATAAGTCATTTTTTTTTTTTTGCAGGGACAAAAGTTAAACATTGCTCTAAAGTCTTTGCAAGATAGACTGCCTACAAATGCTAGTAAGAGATGTTTCTGACCATTTAAAATAATTGAAACAGTTATATTCCTGATTTAGATTTCAAGACCAGTACAACCATGAAAAAAAAACAACAGCAAAGGAGTTAAATCCCCACACCCCACCCCTACATACAACAAACCTATGAAGGCTAACATGGGAAGTATTTTTTTCATTTTTTTTAAACCTTGTCAATAAACATTTTCCTGCTATTAGTAAGCTTCAGAAGATATTTAATAGGAGAATGGTTAAATTACTGCATGGGCATCATCTAACTTATGAAAAAAAGCATAACCTGAAGACACTGCATATGTGAATCCAACTTTCTTTTGTAACTGCAGAAACAGATCTCTCCCCCTTATGTGAAGAACTGTGGAAATTAATCTTTCATGAAAAGACAGTACACCATTACAATGTTTTCTACATGTTTGTAGGAATTGAAAGCTAGATGTAAGGCAGTCTGCATTAAGTTTGGAAGAAAAGTTATGCATTTTTAGTAATCCCCCAACTGAACAGACTAGTCGGAATTAATTTAGGACCGAGATCAACTAGCTGCTCTGCCATTTACCCCACTAACTAAATGATCATGGGCTATTCCATATACATTTATAATAAGATTCCAATTTGTTTTTACTATTGTAATAGCTCTATTTGACATTGAGAATGTGTTTTTAAACTGACCCTGTGATAGGGAGTTTATTATTAATAATACTTGTTTTATTATTATTGTCATGTGTGCATGTTGTATAGTGGTCATCAGCACAGCTGATATTGTTGTATTCACTTTTTTCAAATCACCTTGGGAAAGGCATGAATCCGTCTCTTCTTCAATGATAGGTAAAATAGCAGTTTAGACTAGGCTCTATAACCTTGGGTGGCAACTAGTCTAAAAGAAGGGAAACACTGAATTTCAAAATCATGGAAGAGGCAGTGGGAAACTACACTATATTTCCCAAGAATGTCTGGCAGTTCAAATAGAATAAAGAGAAGGAATCTGTCGAGAGCCTTGAAGGAACATGGTGTTTAAAAGAAATTTTAAATTTTTATGCAAAGTTTGATTTTTCCAAAGCGGATATTTTACTACTTCATACGAATCTCACCATATCATACTCTTTATAACCTTTTTAACTGCAATTCTTTTTTTTTTTTTTAATCTCTGTAAACTACATTTAATGTGATATTTTTTCTTAACTTCTAATTAAATTTAAAAAATTTATTTAAATAGAATATGATCTTTTTTTGTCTAGGTACCTTCACAGAAAATGCAATACTTAATGTTTAAATGACAGAAGTTTATCTAATGTTTTTTTTTAAAGTATTGTTTTTTGATGATTTGTACTAATTTTTTCCATTTATGATTAGTAAATATAGTTTTACTTAACAGTATCACCTAATGGGGACAAAGTAATGCAGAAATTTAAATGATTTGAAACTTTATGAATTATTCTAATAAAAAAAAAAAAAATGAGAACAATTTCTGTTAAAAACCTATTATTCATTGAAAAAAAAAAAATTTTTTTTTTTTTTTTAAGACAATAATGTCCATAATATGTTATTTATAAAAACAATTAAAAAATTTTTCTAATTAAATAATATCTTAGTTTTATTGCATTTTTTATTTTATGATTCAGGGCAGATTTTTGGTAACTGGTGTTGGTTTTATAAAAAGAAATGACTTAAATTCTCCAAGAAGTTCTGCTTTTAACTAATATAAACATTAATTAGGATAAAATTTAATTTTGTCAAAATTTCTTAAAATTCAATAAACTGATGTAAAAAAAAAAAAAAAAAATTCTAAAATAATTTAATTCATTTGTGAATAAGTCCTGAAAGTTTCATTAAATTCCAACAATTATTTGATTTTTGCAAGAATTTACAAATCAAATGATGCTAAAATATCCTATTACTAATCTTTGGTCCCCTGCAATAAAAACAAGTTTTTTAACCAAAATTTCAAATGTTCTAAAAAGGATTAAAAAATATAATTTAATGATCATAAAATTCTTTGGTCTTTTCCCCTTTATAATAACAATGGTTTTCACAATAAATTTTATTTTTTTTTAAATTTTTTTTTTAAAGTTTGGAGCATTTTTTTCATCATGTTATGACAATTTTTTAGCAACCTATTTTTATGTATAAGTGAAAAAAAAATCTGTAATGAAAATAACTACAACTGTTATATCAATTATATTAACAGATGTATATCTATTTTTAAAATACATCTATAGATATTGTACTATATTCCAGTCTAATTTGTGATTTGAAGCTATATTTTTGCTGCAGAAAATTGCAAATATATTTATAATTTTATTTCTAATTATCTTCCCTCTAAATCCCATCAGTTAAAATGCAGCTTAAGGAAACAGATGACAGTGGTGAAATTCTGGAAGACATCAGTAGCTTTATTTTTGTAGTTCAAAGAAACTAGATGGAATGAAAGCAATAAGAATAATCAACTTGATGAGCCACATAACTAATTAGGACTTTAATGAATAGAGCTCATAACAAAATTAGAAAGGAAATAGAGCAAGAATAATGTTGCTTTGTTCATGATATTGGAACAGAAAATGCTTTTTTTATTGTCCAAATGCTATCAAAGCAAACAATACAAACATAGAAATGTCTATATCCATGTTTTGTATTTGATAGGGTACAACATGAAAAGGTATTTGAAATATTAGAAAAGCTTAATTTTTCACAGGAAAGTTGTGGAGAGTCATGGTTGCTCACACAGTGAAAGGACATGGCACAAAAGAAGATTGCAGCTTGACATGACATTCTCTGTCATACACACGCACACACATTTTCAATTATGGCTTGTAAATGTTGAAACCTTTTTTCCTCAAATTTCTTAATACTTGCTCCTTTTAAAAAAAATCCCTATAAAAGTTTTGAAAAACCACTTGAAAATTCCTGTGCATGTGTTGCATGATTGATGTCAATAACTTTTGCATGTGTACATCATTTGTCATTATACCCTGTCCCATTGATTGCTTGTTGATGAACCATGTTTACCAAGACTCTTAACACGGAGCTGGCCGTTCTAACTAACATTTTCACAGGAAGAGGAATTCCGCTTAAAGCATGAAGCCATTCTCAACCAACAGAGGCATGAATCCCAGGTGTTGAAACGGAGACTTGAAGAACAACGCTCCAAATCTACGGTCAAGGACACTGTCAATAACACAAAGGTGTGTAGTGAACAAGCCATTGGCCAAGCAGCTGCTGCACTGACTCATCACTTAGCCTTTTACATCCCATTAATAACCCTCCTCTCTTTGAAGTTTGTACAAACTTGATTGCTATAATTGGTAAAACTGTTCCAAGATAGATGTTTATTATTGAAAAGAACTAAGTAAAATGTATGCATTGTACTTATTTACTTTTAGGTAAGGTTATCTTAACTATAACTTAGTTGCAAGAAAACTGAAAAACAGTTTGCATTATTTTTTCTATACACACACATATATATATATATATATATATATATATAATATTTCTGATTTCTTTACTATGGTATCATCTCTTATGCTGACTCAATCTTTTTGGAAACTTTTTCTTTTTTCAAGTGTTTTTAATCTAAAATAAACACAAAGTCCCAAGTATGTGGTGGAATAATCATTATCTGCCTTTCTATTCAGACCAGCATGTTCATCTTGGTGGTTATACTCTTAATGTTTTGGTGGTTATACTCTCTTGACTTCTTGAGATGTTCTTAATTTGTAACTATTATTTAAGCAACAGGGTAGATTGTTCTTTCTGATTTTGATGCTTAGATTTCATATTGGTTAATACTCACCAGTCTTATTTGTATCATTTGTCTGTTTCTTCTGCTGAACCAGAGGATGTGACTTTTTAGCACTGCCAGATTTAGACATTGACTTCGCAATTGACAGGGAAATATGTTTTAACTCCTGCTTTAATCCACTTGGCCATGTATCTCTCGGACTATCCATTGTTTTCATTTTTGGAACCTTAAATCTCTATGCCTGGTAGAATTGTATATGGAATTTGATTTTAGAGTAATTAAAACTGCTTGTTTTTTATTGACTGGATATCAGTATGTATTCAACAACTTTTCTAATTTCAAAATACATTTCTTTTTCACTTAATTTAGCTTCACTTAACAATTCTGAACTTTCAGTATTTGCAAGTTAATGGTAATATTAACTGTTTGGCATTCATTGACTGTGCAGCCAGTAATGCTTGATCTTAAAGAGGTAGAAATAGAGTATTATTTTGCATATGTTTGTTGGAAATTACGAGAATAATATATATATATATATATATATATATATATATATATGAATAGTAGACTTGAAATTATTAAAATGCGCTTTCATAATTTTGGTCAAGTATAAGGTTTTGGTATGTTCAGAACCAATTTTACTGGAGGCTCATTTGTACAAATAAAGGTCAGAATTCAGTCACGTTTCCTTCACTGATATATCTTAGTATCTTATCAATGTCAAAACCTCAAAAAAGGTGGGAGGTTATTAAAAAAGTTGGGTTACCAATTAATTTGATAAACTTTGTGTACATTAATTCAAGATAATTCTTATGTGCTACTGGAATTGTCATTTATTGTGGACTTGATTTGTAAGAGTAAAATTTTCTACCTAACTAAGATTCTTTGATATTCTTAACAGAAATTTTGCAGTCTCATGAAAACTTTTTGTGACATGGCAATACCAACAAGGTCATTTTAAAGTTTACTTGTGCATTTACTAGAATGTTCTCTCTGTAAAATGAATGTAGTAAGATGATTTGTGAAAAAAGATTGCAAATCTTGGATTCTGAATATGGATATTTTGTTGGTGGTGATGAAAGAAAAACAGGATGACTGAAGAGCAAATTTGTTGGTTGTTAAGAAAAATATGTGTCAAAGACATCACTATCTGTCGATACTTTTAGTCAATGCAATCAAGACCAAAAGTAACATTGTTAACATATTAAGACTATCATCAGAGGGTAAGTTGGATATAATTTTGTCAAATGAGACCATTTCTGTGTATTGCCAATTTTAAGCCATTTACTGATACCAAAGGCAACAGTTCAACATTTTTACATTTATCTAACATGTTAAAGTTTATTTCAAATTTAGCACATTTGTATTAATTTGCATGTGTTTACATTGTGCTTTTATGGTGAAAATCTATTTGGATATATTAACTCTTTACTAAATGAATATTTTAGTACAACATCAATTACTTCAATTCTTAATGTTTTGAAACCAGCTTCATGATTTATTATTTTAATGGTAAGTTTTTATTACTTCATAGTGAATCTTGTTAGTAATTGAAATTCTTTGTTTGACAGCGTTCTCCTGGAGATTCTTCAGTCAGTAGCAGCAGCTCCATTAAACCAGGCACAAAATCAGGTAAGGTTTTAATCATTTTTTTCACACTGATCTTTATGAAAAAAAAATTAAAAATGAGGTAACTTCCATGTCACAGCATTGCCATTTGTTAAGGCAATCAACATTTCTGTCAATTTTCATTCATATAAATCATGATTGGAATTCAAGTCCTCCATTTTGTATGTGCTTTTTGGATGGAATTTTAGTTGAATGCTTCACTGTTGTCATTGCAAGTACCATTCATATTGAGTAATATTCTTTTCTCAGTTATGTCAAACTTACTTTTACCAAAGAGGAATGAAATTCTGCAGTAGATTAATTGAATGTGTGTAAATTATGTTGCTTTTTTTTTTTTTTTTTTTTTTTCTTTGCTAATAAAGCCCCATTAAAAATGATTTGATAAAATTTTCTCATTTTATTTTCTGATGTGATTGGTTGCTTAAAAAATTGTGCAAATTTAATATCTACAAATGAGTCCAAGTGAAATGCAACATTTTATTATAGAGTTTAATCAAGCATAATTTTGTATTAATAAATTTCCATGTTTTAAAATCGGTTATCTTGATCCATATAATTATTAAACAAATGTACAACTTATTTTCCACTTTTAGTTGCAAAAAGAGGCTTAAGAGATTAGATTTTTGTCAATTTTGTTTTCATTGACTTATCCTTTAATTTTACTGTTATCAAAATAAACTTCTTACTCATTTTTATATTTTCTTTTGTTATGCAAATGATGAGTTTAATTAATCATTTGCCTATGCAACTAGTGAAGTTTTTGCTTAGTTTTTATAGAAAATCTTTTACATATATTATCCTAGAATGTTATAAAAATTTAAGAATTATTTTATAAATGCTTATTAATACTAGATTTGTTACAAGACTGAATAGAATAGTTGAAATATTGAGTAGTGCTAGTTTGTTTTCTAAGTGAGGTAAGCCTACTTGTTTTGAAAATTAGCTTTTGAAATTTATACTTTTATTTGGCCTTTAATGTTGGCAGTATTGAAAAATAATCAATTATCTTAATTAGAAGACAGGCCACTTGTGTATACTTTTTAATCTTTCTAGCATTTTAGAAAAAATAATCTACATTTTGAATTATTACATTTGAATTTACATTAAAAATAAGTGACAGCAGTCACCAAACAAGTGAATAGAGTAATAAGGAAAAAAAAAAACTATGATCAGCATTGTACAAAAAGAGTTGGTATTTATGACTTTAGCCTACATTATTTAACAATAAAACTATGAAATGCAATGATTGAATTTGGAATTGCAGCAATCCTTTTTGGGAAAGGATTTTATTAATTACCTCCCTTACATTATAGGCATCTGTCATTATAAAGTTTGTGATTTATCTGAGTTATTGCCAAGCACCGAGTTAGTTTGTTATGATGCCACAAGCTTTAGTGAGTTTTGTTTTGATATTTGTAATTTCTGTCTTTTATGTTTTTATTTTATTTTTTTAATTAGAAATTCGTATATTCACTCATTGTTATTTGTTTTTATATAAGATTAATCTTTATTGAATCTTTATTCACTTTTGTCCACCCAGTCCTAAAGCACTTGTATAAATTTTTTTTTGTTGTGGCTAGTTGTTATTGCTTTGATTTCTTTTTTTTTTTTTTTTTCCTTTTTGTATACAATTTCAACGAAATGGGGGACAATGTTATTCCAGGTAGAGAAAGTAATATCTACTGACTAGTCTGACAGTGGCTGTCTGTGTCTGTTATTGACTTAATATAAATATTTTTAGCCTACAATATAAAGCCCTTTGTTCTTGATAAAGGAAAGGTTGTTGGAGCAAGCAACAAAATTATCCCACCGAGCGGACGGCGAACCACAAAGACTACAGCATCACCATCAACCACAGCATCACCCGCCACTCATCATCAGAGTGATGAAGGTATGTATTTGTAGTTGATCCAGGGTGCAGTCAGCCTCAGGAATGCCAAAGAAATTTTATGTGGGGAGGCAAAAAAAATATTCTATTTATTTTTTGAAACCTTGGCTGCCTTGCTACTGTGGCTGTTGTTACTGCCTAACCCTGTGATGGTTGCTTTAATGAAGATTTGCTGGTGGTCATATTGGAAAATTGCTGTAATCAGTCACTACCAACCACCACTTTGCATCATAATGCTTGCTTGATTACTCTAACTTTTCTTGTGACTCTTATTTCCTTCCTTTTAACCAATCCCATTAATATACTGAGGCAAAATAGACTTGAAAATACTTGGTCTTGAATATTTGGATGTATTTTTGAAATATTAACTCATGTGTAAACAAACAAACATATATACTTATAGACAGATTGCAGTTTTTCACAAAAGACATGGGAAGCTGAATGTAGCTTATCTACTAACCTTGTTCTAACATCATATGTCCAACATAACATAATAATGTAAATGTTATATTTCTCATATCTGTCAAAACCTTTATGTACATATTTGTTGGTAGAAATGTTAAAAATATCCCTTCTATTTCTGATAGAAAAAATGACAAAAATCAAATAACCTATGAGAATTAAATGCAAAACCTCAAGTTACCTGATTTAACTTGAGTATGCTGAATGGCATAGAAAGTAATTTGCTGAGAAAGTTTTGCATGTCAGAAAAATTAGCAATGAACTAGCAGCAATGAAGACTCTCCATACAATATCAAAGAAAACCTGACAAATAATATGCCATCTCTTTAGATAAGTTGAAGGAAGATTTATATATGTGGGCATGTGAATTACATGGCAATGGACTTGTCATCTGCATGGCTCTTTAAACAAAAGCTTTACAAATAATCATGGATGCATATAAACATAATGTTCATCCTTTAGCTGAGGATGATGGACATATTTCATGAATAGAAATGGGCTACCATTACATCAGCAAACCCACATTGGGCAAAAATTACCAAAAGTTTTGAATCATAAAATACAATTCTGTAATTTTGCAATTCCTGAATGCAAACATTATTCATATGAATTGTCAACATTGGCAAAAGCTCTGCTTTTTTTTTCTTTTTTAATGCCTGATAATAACCGTGTAAGGTTTTTCAGGAAAATGCACTGTTAGTATAAAATAACTGGATCTGAAAAGCAACATTTAATAGCAGTTTTTGCATACTTCACTGATGGCCAGAGGAAGAATTTCTAAGTGGTGTGCATGTTTATTTTCACACAGAGGGATTGGTTTATCTGGAATAAGTTTGGATGAAAATTATTAGATCTCTCTCCCTAAGCCAACACCACACCATTGAATTGGTTTCATTCACAATTGTGTAAATCTGAAGTTACAGGAAAACAAAACCAGGCAAGAAGCAATTACTTCTATTGTAGATGTTTTACTAAATAAATAACATAGAACAGGTAGATAGTGTATGAAAACAAAAGAACCAAAAAAGGTGAGGTGTTTGAAGTCAAGCTGAGACAATGTACACTGAATGAAAGCAGTATGGGAATGAAATCCTTTAAAAATTGTAGTAGTTCCAATGCTATAGATAAATTACAAAAATGAATTGCTTTCCGAGAAACTTTTCTGGCAAGATAATGAGCAAGTGCCCAACTTTTTCAGCTCTAGTTCAACAGATAAGGAACTAGATTGGCTTTGATTAAATTATGCATTTTTGAGTGACAAGGACAGCAGCATTTTCAGGATTTGGTAGGGATGATTGGTAATAGAATGCCATAAATAATTCTGTGAATTCATGAAATGATTGTGTGGGTATAAAAAATATTTTAATAAGGTTTCATTAAAATCAATTTAAAAATGTTTATTTAATTCTTAGTTTCATTAATTTATATATGCATACATGCCACCTTATATATTTATGCGCAGTTCTCTAGTAGCTTACTGTAAACCTAATGTCAATTACATGCTGCATATATTTTCCACTAATCAGTATTGATAATTTAAAACGTACTGATAGGTCAGTTTTGGTACTTTGCACTTGCTATAGTGGCAATGATTAAGCTAAGTGTGTTTATTATTCAAATATTATATTTGATGATGAAATAAATGCTGTTTCAGATAGTGAAATCCTTGATTTCCATTCATTTTTGTTGTAATCACGTGAACACTCAAAACTGCAAAGCTGCAACATTGTTCATCAAAATTAGCATGCAAATTAGGCACAAGTTTGAGTCAGAAGGCAAAACAATGTAAACACGAAAGTGGTATGACTGCTGCAGCTTTTATACAAGTATATGGTATATTATTTGCAATTTAAATTTTGCTACAGCATTACTTTGCAAGTGAAAGAAATATAACAATCTTGAAGATTGCTTGAATATGGCATCACCATTTTAAACCATTCTGTTTAGGTTACACTGCAGTTAATGCTTAACCATAAGAGATTTTCATTCCTTAAAAAATAAATATTAAAAATGATTATTTTTATAATACATTTATCTATAATATAGAAAATTGTCATTGATATTTACATCATAATATTGTAAATCAAGAATATTTTGTTTCACAATTAGTTCACTTGAGAATAATATGGAAAAATTAATTGCTCTTAATAGTCATAGTTACTTGTCTATTATGATGAGTTTCATGGAAAATTGAAATGATTGTAATATTACATTAAGCTGAAGAAAATGCTTATAAAAAAAACATGAAAGAATGTATTCTTTTATTTAAAAAAAAAGGCTTTTCTTGAATATGGTTGACCTACCATTATTTTCATATACCCTCATTATTCTGAAATCACCAGTTAATCCTTTGGCAAAACTACTGAAACCTCCGTTGCAGTTGTAATGTATAAATAGTATTGTGAAGTTTTTCTGTACTCATTCAAATTTGTGTATCAGCTGTGAATGTTGTTTTATCAATGGTTTTCTTTCATAAATGTAAGTGTAGTTCATGTATATACAATTAATTATTAGTATTAGGAAATAGAAATAAGTTATAAATCATATAGAAAAAAATTTAGAATTTTTGTGGAAAATAGAGAATTTGTCATTCTCATCTGTTGTCTGATCAAATTCATTAATAGCAATTGATAGTCCTTTTACTTGAAATAATTCAGATCATGTAAACTTAAAATAGTTGTCAAACTAAATTTATGGCTTCTGAGATATGATTCCAGTGGAAGATGTTTTTTCTGGATTAGCAAAAACAAAAGGAAAACGTTTAATTGCAGGTTACCTTCAGTCTACATTTATTTGCTAATTGGCACAAGGAGTGCTGAAAAGTGAAATCTGAGTTAAACCCAATTCTTAAAATCTGGACAATGGGCCAAACATCAGATTTTTTTAAGGCTTCTTGGTCTGGTCGAGAACTTATTAGCACTCTTTTGTACAAAGCTTAATAAATACTGACATTGTTCACAAATAACATTGATCTATACTTAAAACATTTTGTTTCTTATCCATAGATAATCACAAACATTTATCATTTAATATTAGTTAATACTGAGGATTTAATTTATTTGAAACAGTTGTATAAGCTATTTATGAATAAACATGGGTGATTCAGAAAATTAATGCAAGTTAACTTTGGCCATCGGTTGAAATTTGCTCATATTTATATCTTTCTTTGAATGGAAAGAAGTCATTAAGTTTAAGCATGTTTTAAGTTCTTAAAATTCATATGCTTATAAAATGTTATTTCACATTTTAAAATCAAGGATCTGGCTGTAGTTAATGAAATATATAACATTCAATTTTATTTTGCTCCAAATCCCAACTATTTTACTTTTCTTTCTATTGCTTTTAATGTTGTCTTTTAGCCAAGTGTGCATCTAGCTTTCTCTTTTTCTAACTCTTGTGCATTTATTCTCTTACCTTTCTGATTCCCTTGAACTAACTTTTTCTTTAGTTGTTTCCTGTCTTTAACATCTTTAAAATTCCAACCATTTCTAAGTTGCAAATTTCCAAACATTGTTTATGCAGATGGGCATTATCTTTGTTATACTGTTTATAAAAACACTAGTATGGAATAACATCTGATAAGTTAGCAGATTTAATGAATTAACATATTCAAACTGTGGCTAAACACAGAAAATGATGCTTATTATTATTATTAATAATAATAATAAATAAATAAAAAAGGTTAAGTCTTTACAAACGTGCATTTTCAAATTACTAGTTTATATTTCTTATTTTTTTATTCTAAGAAGAAAATGTGGAAACTGAATATAAAGGTGTTTATAATTTGTTTATAATTTGTTTATAAAAATGTAAAGAAAATGTAATACTTATGAGTAGGCATCAACCTAGAAAATATTGCCCAAATTTTGAGTTCTTTTTTTTTTTCATTTCTCTTTTCCCTATCAGTTTTACAAGCAGCCAGTTATAAAAACATGGATAATAAATTTCTGAAATGACAAAGTAGTTTATAAAGGAAGCTAGCAATTTAAATAAATGAACTTTGAAAAATAGTTAAAGTAACTAGGAGTTTATTTTATTTCAATATCCCAAAATTTTCTTTCAAAGCAAATTTGTGCAATACAATTAGTTCATATTGCTAGAAGTAGTACATGTTCTAGTTTGAAATAATTAGGTATTTGGATGTGGTACACTTGATTGTAATCAACAAAAGAACTATATTTTTATGCAGGCAGTTTAAAATATTTTTTGTAGTAAAGAAAAAAATTGCTTCTTAAAGATAATGCCAATGTTTGATAGAAAAAATTGAAATTAATGAGAAATAGTTAAGAACAATATTTTCAGTTTGTCTGTTCATTAAAATAGGTAAATATTTACACATGCAATATAATAATTTTATGTACTTATAGATTTAACTATTCAGTAATATATATGAAGAATCAGCAATTATCCCAAAATTGACAGGACTATATGAAAAAAGAGAATTTCAAAATACTCATATTTTACCTGCAGATAACAAATAATCATGCATTCCAAATTTGAAAATTCTTTTAAAAACATTTTCAAAGTAGTTTCTCTACCTTTACCTAACCAGTTTTTCCTCTCATTTTCAACATTTCAATTTTCAGGTAACAGAACATGCAATCAATGAAATGTAAATCTTTATAGTTTCTAAATCATTGGCTGCAATTTTATATAAATTTTAATACTATTTAAGTGGCTGTGCAGATAAGTGTAAAGTGGAATCAGCAACTCTAGTTCAAATTCTGGGCAAGTGCCCTTGAGAAAGGCATGAATCCATCTCTTCTCTCCATCAACTCTGAGTTAAATAGCAAAGTGGACTGGTTTCTCTTACTTTTGAGTGACAAGCTAAGAGAATGAAAACTTCTAATTCCAAATCATGGAGAAAGCAACAGGAAACTACTTCACTATCTTTCAGAATACATGGCAGTCTCCATGTAATAAAGAAAAGGAATCTACAGAGCGTCATGATCACCTACATCCTGATGGGCCATAGCATTTAAAAAAGGAAAGCATATTTTTGCTTTCTGAAAAAAAACTAAAATTATGAATATTTAGTATAGAAAGGATTCAGTTTTGTAAGGTTAAAAGAAATAAAGTAACAAAACTATGCCCCAAATTGAACCTACCACAATGTTCACTTTGGAAATTTATCTGCTTAGTTTTGTCAAGATCCATCAAACTGTTGACACATAGAAACATACCCAAAGGACTGATTTCACCATTCTATAAGCACTACCTTTATCTTGTTATTGTAATAACATTTTCTCTATAAAATGAAAGCCGGAAAAATATTTTGCTTTGAGATAATTCAATCGTTTTTATAATTTAGAATGGGTTGAATAAATCTGGACAGGCAATATTGTAGGTATCCATGTTGGTATAACTATTGAGTTTGAGTTTTCTTCAGTTTTTTATTATAAACTCCAAAAACAAATTTTTACAATTAAAATATATTTTCTAGCTTTACATGACCTGCAAAGTGTTGATAAGCAGTAGAAAACAAAAATTAATCAGTTTTTCTATTATTGAATAGTAAATTATTGTAGTCATTTGCATGTTAATAGATTTGCTATATAATTAAGCTTGCTTATCTCTTACTCTCTCTCTCTCTTCACTCATGTGCAAAAAAAAAAAAAAATTCTGATTTGCTCTTAGCCACCTTATTGCATGTCATTTTATTTTTTAAGCTTTGTTTTAATTTTTTTTTTTTTTAATTTGATCTCTCAATCCAAACATAGTACAAATTTTATAAATGAGATTTTCAAGATGTATTTGTTTTTGTTTTTTTTTTTTAATTAAAAAATTTCAGGCAATAGTGATTTAGATATGTGCTATAAGGAATTTCTGTCAATGTATAAAATTCAATCAAATTATTATTCATATAAATATGCTTTGGCAATTTTTTTTCTACTTGCATTCAAAAATATTGTAACAATTGATATTTGAATTTTTCAAGTACAATGTGTTATGCACCATTGCAAAAATATTTAAAGCACTGTTATTTCTCGTCACTCATTTTCAGTTGATACCTTTATGCTTTTGTATTATTGAAACAGAATACTGTTTTTTTTTTCCTCTTATATTTTACACTTATTTGTCCATGAAAAAGACAAGCAAAATCATAAATTTTGGGCAGATATTTATACTGGCTAATGTTATTTCTATCACCCTATAGAGTTTAACATTTTGTTTCTTCTATTTCAGTCTTGTCAGCAGGTGCATTGAAATTGTTGGAGGAATATAAAGATGCTGATCCCAATTTCACAATTCGGAGACACCATGATCAGGCTGTTAGTGAAATTCAACAAGTTGAAAGTTTGCGGAATGTAAGTTTGTGGTGATGAGGAAACAAAACTTAGTTCCGACCACCACACACATGAAACAATTTCAAAGATTTCTGTTTTGATGACTAATAAATTATTTGCTTGTATTAAAATTAATGTTATTTAAGGTTAATGATAGTAAAACAGCTATATAGAAAAAAAAGTACTTCACTTTATTGAAATCGTCATTGAATTCTTTGTTAAAAATTAAATAGCCTTTATAGGTAGAATTTTCATGTGTCAAATGACTTACTAAATAGTTGCCAAACCATTATACCAACATAAGCCTGACCCACTGATACAAGTTTGGGTTGATCCATACTTTCAAGTTGTTTGTCAAATTCTGATTCTATCATCTGAATGTTGCAGTGGAAATTGTCAAACCGGGCAATGTTTTTTTCCTATCTTCTATTGTCCAATTTTTGCAACCACATTTTCTTGTTATCTGAGAGTAGCACGTGGCATGGTTGTCTGCAACTGTAGCCCATCTATTTGCAGGTTCAACTCATACTTTGAGAGATGCTTTTCTGTATATTTTCATTGCAAAAAGTTATTTGAGCTACTGTTGCCTTTCTATCAGCTTTAAGTAGTCTGGACATTCTCTTCCCTTTTTTCATCAATAAGGGATTTCTGCCAACATTTGCTTCTCACTGGAATTTTTTCTTTTTCTGATAACTTTCTGTAAATTTTAGATCTGGTTGGGTGGGAAAATCTTAGTAGATCAGCAATTTTTTTTTAAATAACTATCAGGCATCAACAGGCATATCATTTTCAAAGTCACTTCAGTTAATTTTTTTTTTTTTTTCTTTCTTGCGTGCATACTAATTAATGAAATGAAACTCAGCAGGTTGCCATGACCATGTTTAAATGCCTATATTCATTAAACTGTTGCAATGTCATTGGCTGATTAGAAAGTTGCATAAAAGAGTATTTGTTCACATATACTTAAATGGCCAGTGAATGTATATTACCACTGCTACTTGAGTTTCACTCTGAATTCAGGTTTGTAAGGCTGGGATGATATATATATTTTTAATTTTAATGATGCCTGAAAATTTTAAATATCATGGCAGCATCTACCACAGCCTTCATGCTTCTCCAGAATCTGGCACATGTGACCCTCATGGCATCCCTAGGGGGGAGCCTCAAACACCTCCTTAATTCTGTCAATTAGCTTGGCCTTGGTGTTACAGGCAGTGCGGTTGTTGTCTTTCTTAACCATGCTCCACACATAATAACCCATAGGATTACAATCAGGTGAGTTAGGGGAGCATATGTTGGGACTGGTGAAGTCATAAAAATTATCTGACGACCACTTCTGACTCTTCCTGGAGGTGTTACAGGGAACTGAATCTTACTGCCACATATGATCTTCCTCCAACCAATGATGACTACGATGACCAATGTTGCCGGAAAACTATCAAGCACTCTACATAAACCTTGTAACATGAGCTATGTTTTGCATTAAGTGCAAAGAACATCAGTTCATCCAGTAAAAATTTTGTTCATGTGTAACTTTGTCTTGGTTTTTGCAAAAAAGTTGTACCCACCTTCAGTTTTATCAATTTTTCTGCCAAACCCAGGGGGCCCTGGAGATTGAAAAGTTGGTCTTGACCTACATTGGTAAATTTGCAGCATCTGTGTATAATTTCATCAAAATTAATTGAGAAATGTGGATGTGCCTAAATAGCATATACAGACACACGCACACATCTGTTTTATAGATATAGATAATGTTAATATTTCTGATTAAGATGATATATGGTTGAAAGAACACAAACAAAAGCATTAGGAATTTTGGACTGTTTCTTTATAATTTGATCTGGATGTATGACAATTTGCGAAAACTGGAAAAATGTATAAAAAAAACGGATCTTTTCAATGGATTTTATTCAAACTGGTTTGAATAAATTCTTACTGTCTAAGTATACATTTACAAGGAGATACTGAAAGCTATTTGGTCATGGCCAACTTCCCAAAAACTGGTCAAATGATATTAGCATGATTAAGAACTTTTTAGCACCTTGGATATATATTATAAAAAAATAAATTGTTTGCCTCTGCTCATTTCTGTGGTTATTTTCTGTTAAGAATAAATTTTATTTTGGTGAAATTGCATCAAATATCAAATAATTCATTTATTAATGTGAACATTTGATGCTGTTGTAGTTACCAGCAGTTGTTAGTTTATCAATACAAATAATTTTTATTTGTGTCATTGATGAAAAGTTGAACAGAAATACACTTGACCAAATGCTTTCAAATTGTATGTTTCTAATTTGACAAATAATCTCTGGAGCATTTTATGTAAGATTACTTTGTTTTTGTTTTCTACATTTCCTAATGATTTCTATTTTTACTTGTAGACAATCCAAGCCCGATTAAAGGTGACATTACCTGCTAATTTGCCTGAAGCATTAAGAGATGGTGTTGTGCTTTGTCATTTAGTAAACCAAATTCGCCCAAGAGCTGTTGCAACAATACATGTACCTTCCCCAGCAGTGGTAAGATTTTCAAACTCTCATGCACTTCATTTTTTCATTTTAATTTTTAAAAGATTTGAAATATATTTCCAAATATATCATTGGACACCATTTTGTATGTATATTTAAAATTTTTTCATTCTTGTAGTTCAGACTGTTTTTTCTTTTAGAAATATTTAAAATTTAATTTCATATTAAGAAAAAAAAAAACAACTTTTTTCAAGCCTGTGTTGGTCTAATGTATGATTATTATTTAATGTACATTATAAATAAATTGTAATCCTTACATAAATGCACTTAAATATATGCTGCATTCTAAGATTATATACAAATCAATAAAATGATAATAATTATGAAATTAATAGTCCTAGAGTCATCAAATGTTGGTCAAATGGAGGTTGTACCTTTTTATATGAAATATCACAAAATCTATGATCTAATTAAAATATAGAACTTCATTTATGTTGGAATATACAAAAAGTAATTATTTTAAGCCATCAATTTGAAGTAATAAGAGGATAATAAAAGAACAATAATAACCAACCATAATAATGATTTATTCATAAACTGTCTAGAGATTATATGCAAGTTATGAATTGGTATAAAGAGTTGCGTCTTTAATGTTAAAAGTCCTATTATGATGTTGTTTAGATTCTACTCAATATTATTAACTTAGATATATAGTGATAGAGAAAACTATTGTTTTTGGTTGGAAAATATTTTACTAAGTTAACAAAACAGACTAATTTGACTGTCAGTAGTTTATTTGCAACTATTTATTTTGATACTTTTACATTATTATACCTTGTAAAACTAATGTAAAAAAAATAATATGAAAAGATTTTAGAACAAATTCGTCAATTTCTTAAAGGAAAAACATAAAAACATTTTATTTTAAAAATAAAAGATATATTAACAAAAAATAAGAATAACCTCCAAAAATTTATTGCACAAATGCTCCTTTCTTTTCAATAACTCTTAGCAGCCTATTGTCAACATCTGATGTTAGATTTGCAATTTTAGTGGCTGGTAAGTTGTTTGCAGCAACTTTAACTGCCTCCCAGAGGTCACACTTGCTGTTGAATTGCCTTCCATTAGAATAAATATCTCTCTTGAGGATGCTCCACAGGTTCTCAATGGGATTCAAGTCACAGCTATTTGAAGGCCAGTCCATAAGAGAATCTTCAACAAATCCCTTTTCTTTCAACCAGGATTTAGTAAACTTTGATGCATGACTTGGTGCGTTGTCTTGCATAAAGATCATAGATCTATGCTTGGCTAAAGACTGGTTATCAATCCATTCAAAGAAATATTGCTCTAGAAAATCACAGTAACTTTTGGAATTCATTTTAACCTTGTCTTTCAGTTTAAATGGACCCACGAGCTCATTACCAATAATCCCAGCTCATATCATGATCCCGCCGCCACCTTGTTGGCGTTTAAAAAATTTTCTTGAGTCATGTTGCTTGCAAACCCATCCTTGAGCCCATCCATCGGGCCCATCGAGGGTGATCCTTGATTCGTCTGTAAAAAGCACTTTACTGAAATCAGTTTTCATGTATTTTTTTTGCCCACTGCAATCTTCTTTCCTTATGTTTTTTTGTTAAAATGGGTTTCTTTATTTGATTTTTTGCATCATCAAACTTCATTAATGCTTTACACCTTGTTTCCCCTTGACACCATAGGAACTCCAGCGGCCTCAAATATGAACACATTTGACGCATTTGGGTTTCTTATTAATTCTCTTTGGATATGTGATAGATCTCGCTTTGTTAAATTCCTGAATTCAGCCTGAGACTTTTTTTTTCCTTGGTTGAATTTCCATTTGACATATTTTCTTGATTGTTCGATGATCCCTTTTCAAATCCTTAGAAATTTGAAGCGAAGACTTTCCTTTGCTAATTTCTTTGATTATATAGTTCTTTTCATTCATTGTTAGTTCTTTTTTTACGAGCCATAATACTAAATTCTACTTCTTGCAAATAATCTCTTGACACTGCAAATTGATATAATTACTGAAAAAATACTAAATATCAATCTGAAATTGAAAATTGGGACTTAATTGCTTTCATGCTTACTCGCTATACATAATAGTACAAATTATTTTATTGGATAACACATATCTATGAATTTTACATAAAATATTTGACAATAACTCTTTTGCATATAATCTCTAGACGCAGTTTATGAAGGAAAGTATTACAAGCTTAGTTAAATAACACAGTGGAAAAGCAATATTATTTGTTGATATAATTTCCATTTTTAATGAGTATTTCAAGAAGCATAGCATCCACAGAAGACATTAAATTCAGAATTTCGTCAGGGGGTAACAACTTCATAAATAACAGATTTTGCTTCCCAAGTTAGCAACTCTCATGAAGGTGTCACATTTTTTTTTTTTTTTTAAACCATAACATAGCTATGTATTCAATGGTTGAATTAGCAGTATGAGCACTGTTGTGCATAAATACCGCTTTCTGTTTGAATACCAATGTTTTTTGATTTTTTTGTTGTTTTTTTTCTTGAGCCATGGCTGAAGGTTGAACCTTAGGAATTCAACATAGATAAAGGAGTTCATTTTGATACCATCAGCAATTCTTCAACAATAATGATCTCTGCCCCATCTGCTTCCTTATTGACACCTAAGTCGAAGAGGCTTAGTGTTGTCCTTCAGGCACTATCTTGTTCATCAACCATCAGGGCCATCTAATGTTGCCCTGAACTTGTGTGTGATTAACACACACTGAAAAACCGATTTACAATATTTTTTGACCCAGGAAATGCATTTAACAAGATGATTTGGCTTCAGAATTATTTCTAAGCACTTCAGGATGTCTCAGCATGAGGTTTTACATATACATTTCAGCTTCCAATGGCAGTAAATCATTCTTTGCAATTTTAAGTGGGTGCTTACGTATTGCTATCTTTAAATGGGTTTCCATTTGTTGAGTAAGTGACAAACATCCATGTATCTTCCCTTTGTTGGCATGTGCACTGCACGTAGTTGGGTTTGAGATCAATACAGTGGCCTCCTGTAAGCCTTTTAATCATTTCTGCTATTGCTTTTCCTTCAATAATTGCTTCAATTGCTTTTCAATAATTTTTGCCTTCTCATCATTTCTCAAAATGCTTTATGGCTCATATAAAGTGAAAAAGTGATATCACCAAAATGGCTGCCAGTTGTTTATTACTGCACAGAACCACTTAACATTGCACATGCCACTGCTGCTAAACTTTTAATTGAAAATTTTTGACAATATATACAGTAAACCAAAAGGTATTTTTAAGGAATGTGATTTGCATATAATGCTGGAATGCACTATATTAGATAAAGAAGTAATTTATTTAAAGCTATCAATTCTTCTAATGGCATGTGACTGATTAGTTTGTTGAAATATTTGAAAATATACAATGATTCAGAAGATTTAGAAATACACGTCAAAATAGCCTTATCAAAAAATAATATGACTAATTATTTTTATTGCGATTTATTTTTTATAGCCTCAACTGACTATGGCAAAATGTCGTAGAAATGTGGATCATTTCATTGAAGCATGCCGAAAAATTGGTGTTGATCAGGTAGGAATGTTTTTCTGCACTCCCTCTTGATTTTGTCTGAAAATATTCTTCACAAAATAACATCTTGATATCAGCTACAATCTGAATAATTGGAGCCAAAACTAAGAGAACCAGTTTATTTTATAAAACATTAATTTTTTTAATGATTTAATACTTTCATCACCTTATTTTAAGTAAGGACTTGGAAATGAATAAGGAACCGTTTTGGATTTAAAATATATTAACAGAAATTTTGTGGTTTTTAAGTTATATTTACTAGAAAGAAGTTCCAACAGTTTTTTTTCTTACAAATCTCTTATTTTAAGATTGGTGCAAGTATTAAAGTGAGTTTGAGAAATAGTTGTAAAAAAATTTGTAATTAAAAATTCTATTATATTGAAACCTTGAACTTGATTAATATTATTTGTGCATGTGTATTTTTATGTAAATAATTAATATTATCTTTCTCTTAAAATATTTTCTATGGTATAATTTTAGAAATAGTGCTTAAGTTTGAATTTTTAACTTAAAATTATTTTTAACAGAATCTTTTTTTTATATATGTAAATTAAAATGAAATATTTTGTTTGACTTTCAAAATTGTAAAATATAGATCCCTTTATAAGAATATTTGAAGATCCTCCAATCTCATTAACATTAATATGAAACCTCCGATTCTGTTCAGCTTTTTTTCCAAGCAAGCACATGAAAAAGAATTTACTAGCTACTTTAAAAGACTTGAATGCAACATATAATTAAGATTAAAAAAAATAAGTGGAATGATGATTTTTATTCTAGGGCTTCAAAAAATAAACTGATGCTATTTTCATCAACAAATTTAGCAACTATTTCAGACTGGTTCACCTTATTTAAAAGATTTTCTTCTGAGAACTCAATTTTAATTTTCAGCTTTGCATGTTTTTTATTCAGTAAATAGCTCCTTTGAAGGTTCAAATCTCACCAATTAAAATTTTATCTTCCATTGTACCTTAAAGATTAAAAAATATACACAGTATAATGAGTTACGACGTAGAACCCACAAGAAGTTAAATCTGTTAACATCATTATTTGTTTTGGATATTTGGTAAAAATTAGTTTGCTTTCTTGTTAAATATGAAATTAGAACTTCTGTATTGAAATAAATACCCAAATTAGAAATCTAATTTCAAAGTGAAATTATATTCTCTAATTTGATTTTAGAATGACTTTACAACTTTATTGCATTTACTCATCCTGAAATAAAAATAAAATTCAGTGTTTATAATAGCACAATTTTCTTTTATGATTAAGAATAAAAACTAAACAAAATATTCAGTTGTCAAAATAAACAGTGAGCTTTGTTGGCTACCAGCTACTGGTTGTAGGAATGTTATCATTTGCTATTGTGAGAAGAAAAGCTAACATCCTGCATAGATTTGTGCAGTTAATTTTGAATGCTAATCTCAGGTGGTGGCCAGATTTCTTGCAATGTATTTGAGAAAACCTGTTCAAATCTAAGTGTCTCACCTGATCTGCATGCCTGATTGTTTATTTGTGATAGTCAACCAATCATACTGATTTTTTTCCACTTACAAATCAGTTTTCTCCTCCTTTCAGTTTACTGCAATGTTACTTTGTTTTTCATTGTCATTTTGTACCTTTCTTCTTAGCTTTCCTTTTCTTTTGCTATATATATATATATATATATATATATATATATATATATATATATTTTACCACATATCAAGTCTACTTTTTATTTCATTTACAATGTACTGGCTTGTTATACTCATTTGAACAACCTTTTTCAACCTGCATGATTCCATGCAGGATTAAAGAAAATCAATTTTATATTTTAAGTATTCATTTGTGACACTTATTGATACTGTATTATTTTTTGCTGCTACTGCTTTTTCTTTATTAGCAGGTGGGTGTGGAAAATTGTCTATCATTTCTGCCTTGGTTTTGAATACTTCTGTTTTAGTATTTTGTTTTCTATATATTGGTTTATGAAGCAGATGTGACTCATTTGAAATATTTCTTAGATTTCATTTGATTTCTTCTGTGCATATACAAGTTTTGATATCAGTAGTTTCCTTGATATCCAATTACTTGAAAAACCAGAACAATTTATGGAATTGATGGCTAAACAGTGTTTTGATTATACATTTTTTTTTTAATGTTAGTATTGAGCTGATCAAGTATGTTTCTTAGATCTTTTTTTTCTTTTCTTTTTAGATTGTATAATGTCTGGTATATAACATTTTTATATATTCAACTATACCCTACTAAATTAATTAAATTATTACAATCATTCAGTTTTATATTATCCCAAATGTTGAATATGGTAATGTTTTTTGTTATATTATGCAAAATACATAATTTATATTAATAAAATTCATGTCAGGAGATACTCGTATTTTTGTTTATAGTTATTGTCTTTCAGTTCAACCCAAAATATATCTAAGTTTTTAAGATAGCATGGAAATAAAAATAGTTTTTTTTTTTTTTTTTTTTTTTTATGTGTATGAATACTTATGACCATATAGCTATTTACAATTTTCCTTGTAAATCTATCAAATTTTATGATTTTTCTAAATGCTATTTTTATATATTGCAAAAATAGCCCCGAATAATATAATTTCATATTAAAGTTTGATGTGAATAAGATAAACTATTATTATTATTTGATAAATATGAATGTTAATATTTGTGATATTAGTGGAAATATGCATGTTATTCAGAGATTGTAACTTTAAAGACTTTTCTCATGTTAATTTTCAAACCAAATAATTTGTCTTTGGATTTAAAGTAATTGTCTTCTATTTTTGAACACTTATCTGATATTTTGTTTAATATTTTTTAATTCCTCTTTCCTTTTAATAAAACATTGGTTCATGCCAGTACATTTAACACAAACTTCAGTGGATAGAGCTGATTAAAGTTTGTGCTAAATATTGTATATCACACTAGAAATATTTAATTCAAAGTTATCTTCTCTATCTTCCAAATGTCTGAACAAAATTTAGTATGTTAATTTTAGATGTTATTTTTTAAGTGGAGAAAATTTATGTTAGTTGATAAAACTAATATATACTTCACTCCTTTATTTCCTTTTATTTTTTTCCTGGACTGATCAGCTATCTGTTCAAATATTTTTAGTTGTATCCATTTACTTGAAATAATTGCACAATTAGTGTCTACTGCCTATGATTGTTGAACTGAAGACTCTTGAAATTTTACCTGCTTGTCATAGGTTTATATAACTGTTTTCACAGTAAAAAAATCTGTTGCTGGTACTGTTATCTTAGTTATTCTAATCTAATTTAGGAATAATTTGGAATTTAAAATCACATACAAGTCTTTTTGAGGCTTACAGCAATGATTACATTATCTTTTTGCTTTTTATTGCAAAAATTTTGTAAAAAGAAGTAGAATACTTTTTCATCAATAGAAACAGTTAACATTACCTAATTTGAATGTTTTACTTTGAAAATATTTACTGAACTGATTGTTTTTGTTTTTTTTTATATATATCTATAAAAATTATTTGATAAAGCTGAATATAACAGCATTTTAATTTTGGTGATTTTGAAGTAATTGTTTTTAATACATTTTCTGTATTGTCTTATAATTATTTTCTCTTGATTTTTTTTTTTTTTTTTTTTTTTGAAAATTTCTCCATACCAATGTCATGTTTGTTAATTTAAAAAAAGAAAAAAAAAAAGGACTTATTTTTTTCCCCTGCAGTCAACTTGTTATACAGAGACTACACCTGACATTATTTTAATACCTGTAACACTTCATGTATTGCTTGATGCAATCAGATGCATTTTCTATTGTTGCAACAGGTGGTTGTGATTTGCAAAACTACTTTGAAGAAAATAAAAAAAAATGCATTGCCTTTCATTCTAATTTTCATTGGTCACTTCTAGGTTGTTAAGTCTTTATAATTTTCTTTCTAAAATAGCTGTTTCACTTTTTACAATTCACTACTGCATAATTTATAAAAAAAAGGAAATTTACTGAAACAATTTTTTTTCATGATTTGAAAAAATTAAATGAAGTTTCAATAAATCTTGAAATGTCAAGTTCCTTTTAGAAGCACATATAAGAGACCATAGAAAAATTAATACTGAATCCTGGTGCCTTAAAATGGTTTGATTGGATATGAAAGTTTAAAACTGTACTTGCATTTTAATAATATATTTATTTGATCAAAAATGAATTACAGAGAATTAAAATCAATATTGAAAAAAATACTGTTAGCTCTTTGTAAATTTTGACTGTATGTTTCCGGCAAGTAACAGCTTGTTAGATCACTTTTCATTCACCCATGAAAATAGCATATTTTTTTCTTTTATTCATTGTCTTAATTGCATAACATTTTCAGTGTGATACCAGAAAAGAAGTTTAAAAAATTACAAGTTTACTTTTGTTAAAAAAAGCAAAATGTTAGATGTAACATAAATTGGAATAACAATAGAAGATTTTGGGGAAATATACCACAATATGAGGAAGATAGTGTATTGATGTAAAATGGGTCTTTTATAATGATATTTGACAGCTTTTGTTGAATTTATTTTTCAAATTGTAAACCTGTCATCAGAGAATATTAATGCTTTGTAATAACATATAGAATGTACGAATATATAAAACATTCCCAGGGTGATATTGGTGCTTGTCAAGATTGTATTTTTGTTTATAGCTGAGCCATACCTATAAAATGTTCAACTTAAATATTTTTTTACCACTAACCTTGAATCCTTTTCATATTTGTACATTTACTTTTTTTCTTGAAGTTAAAAAAAACAAAAAAAAAAAAACTTAATTTTTACTATGAGGCAATTATTAATATTGTAGTTTAATATTTATATAGTTTAAAAAATGTTTACTGCTGGACTAATCTTTATCTCTCAAAATTTTAAAACATGACACACACCACATGCTTATTTTTATTTTATGTTGCATTGCTTCAAGGCTCAGAGCTCTCTCCTTTGTTAGAATACTTTTGATATAAAATGCATGTTTTTCATTTATCT